GTATTGGAGAGAGTGAGTTGGAAGAAAGGCAAAGGCAAGGAGAGAATTCAAGAGCATAAAATCCCAAACCACGGCTATCACAGACAGTCCAGACCCCCTAGGTGTGCCGAGTTACGCCCCCGGGCCCCGCCGTACTTTCCTGATTTCGTTTAGTGGGAAAGATGTAACCTTATTTATGGGATATAATTTCTCCGTTGATATTCATGCAGATGTGGATACATCTGGGCAGCCGGATGGACCAACCAAGGAACGCGATTTCTCTATGGTACTCCATGTGTCGGCGTTTGAACCCCATAGTACGATGGATCCGGGGTACTCTTTCCCCAGCAATTAGAAATTTATGAATCACAATTCCAAGATAACTCGGGTTAGTGCGCGGAGGCCGTGGGGTCTGTGCCCCAGTATTTCTAGAGCTTTATATATCTGATTCTTCTTGCCCCGGTACCTTTCTTCCTCACTTTTCCATAATCTGGGGGCCTGAACTGCAAAATGGGCATCTTCAAGAATAGTCGCGTCTATGTGCTCGCAACGGTGGCATACACCGGTTCATTTCTATTCGGTAAGACAAATCTCTCTTTTATGGCTATCAAATACAGCATGCTAATATATTTCCCGAAAAGGATATGATACGGGTGTGATGGGAAGTGTGCTGGAACTTCCAAGTTTCAAGGCCGACTTTGGACTTCAAGAAGGGAGTTCTGGCTTCTCAAATGCCAAAAATGCTAAAGTCTCATCGAATGTCGTTTCACTTCTCACTGCCGGATGTTTCTTCGGCGCTATCTTCGCCTCCTTCGTCAATGAGAAGTTTGGCCGTCGCTATTCTATCATGGGATTCTTGATGTTCTTCCTTATCGGATCTGCTGTCCAAACCGCCGCTACCCACGCGCTATCATATATGTACGGTGGACGTGTGATTGCAGGTTTCGGAATCGGAGGCATGTCAGCCATCACTCCAGTCTTCGTATCTGAGAACTGCCCACCGGCGATTCGCGGTCGTATTGCTGGTCTCTTCCAGGAATTCCTCGTCATTGGTGTCACCATTGCATACTGGCTTTGCTATGGTGTCGCAGAGACCATTGCCCCCACAACCATGCAGTGGCGTATTCCTATTGGATTCCAGCTGGTGCCTGGTGGTCTCATGATGATAGGCTTGTTCTTTTTGACCGAATCTCCTCGTTGGTTGGCCAAGGAAAATCGCTTCGAGGAAGCCCTCGAAGCCCTTGCATATATGCGCTCCGAGCCAACTACCAGCCCTGCCGTTCAGACTGAGATGGCCGAAATCAAAGCGGCCGTTGAACACGAAGTCGAAGCAACCCAGGGACTTACTTGGCGGGAACCATTCCTGCCCGGAAACCGCATCCGCTTCGTCAACTGTTTCCTGATCATGTTCTGGCAACAGTGGACGGGCACCAACAGTATCGGATACTATGCCCCTCAGCTGTTCCAGACCGTTGGAGTGGCCGGAGGCAACACCAGTCTGTTCACAACGGGGATCTATGGTATCGTCAAAGTAGTGACCACCGGAATCTTCCTCATCATTGGTATCGACAAGGTTGGTCGACGGTGGTCTCTTATTGCTGGCGCGATTTGGATGGCCACGATGATGTTCATTCTGGGTGGTGTTCTGGTGTCCTATCCTCCGGACCCCAGCGGTAACAGTGGTATTTCGTCTGCATCCCTCGCTATGATCGTTATGATTTACTTCTACGTCATTGGATATTCCGCATCGTGGGGACCGATTCCATGGGTTTACATCTCTGAAATTTTCCCAACTCGTCTTCGTGCGTACGGTGTTGGTTGCGGATCGGCAACCCAATGGCTCTTCAATTTCGTGGTGACTTACGTGACTCCCGCCGCCATCGGTAACCTTGGATGGCGAACCTTCATCATGTTTGGTTGCTTCTGCTTTGCCATGGCCGTTTGGGTTTTCCTTATCGTCAGGGAAACCAAGGGTCGCTCTCTCGAGGAGATGGATGTCCTCTTCGAGAAGTTCCATGCCTTTGGCAGATTACGTGATATTGAAACCGCAAACGAAAGGAAGCTTTCATATGATGACGCTGTTACTTCGGATCATAAAGAAGTACAGGGTGTTGAAACTGAGGATCGTGCGACGAGATAAAATGATCTTGGTACATATTACTGGTATAATTAGATATCCATCTTATGTCCAGTCGGGCTCGATTTAGATTCTGTATATAAGCCTAGCTGGTCGTTTTGGTCAAAGTTATATGACCCATTTAGTAACCAATTCGTGTTACGTCTTCTCTTTTTTCACCCCTAGATATAAACTAACTAACAACTAGGTCAACTTGCAAGACCCAGTAGTTGAGCGGAGTATGACTTCCAACCCTTCCTCGAATAGCCATTCCCCTTATTACACATGAACGAGCACTGAGCATAGCCGACAGAAGTCGGCAATCGGAAAGTGGGATCTGTAATGAAGCACCGCCGGCAATTCTAGGAAAGTCATTATTGATTCCAAGTAGCATTTTCCCAACAGCTTCTACCCAACGGAGTACGTGCTATGAGACAACGCCCCTCATGATCGACATTTACGAGACCCTATCGCTCCTTCGCCACTTACAATACCTTATTTACTGTTTTACCGGGAGAAACCTGAATCAATCATAAGCCTATATGCCTTCCCACGATTCACGCAATAGGCTATTGCATGCCGAGCATGTCGGGTCATGTCTGTGGGCCGACCAAATGCCACGTTCGAAATGCATGGAACGACAAGAAGGCAGCCGAGGATAAAGCCGTGAACGAATTATCAAATTGCGGCAAGACAGCTTCTTTGGAATTAACGACAGGGAATTGTCGTGATAACATATTCAGAGCACGTTCTGGTGCAACGTGACAACATGAAAGTTGCCGGCCGGACCCGTGTATGTTTCACCTTGACCTCCCTCAACACTATGTATCTTGTAGTATGTGTAAGATTGCAGTATTGTTCAATAGTACAGATGTCACCCCTGAAAATGTTAGACGGAGAATTCTGCTTTTGTCAAAGTCCATACAATATGGTGTAATAACGGAAAGACCACGGTTGTGCGTGATGTTTTGGGGACAATTCCGTATACAACGTAGGCGGTTTTAATAGATGTAATGAGGACTAGCGCCCTATGTCCAACTGGTTTAGCGCATGATTGTCCCGATCTTGCTACATATCTATAAGCCCGGCGGCTTTATCATAGGCGATAATTAATTGATTGCCAAATTTAGATTTCCACTACGTATTGACTATTATTATTATTTTGGCTCGCAGTGGTTAAGTATCGTACACTCCCCCTCTACCTAGACTCGGATAATCATTAAGCGAGCCGCTGAATAAAACCGTATCCTAGGAATTAAACGTACCCTTCGATATCTTAGTGGTAGATATACCGTTAAGATATAAAAGGCGGAGATCCTCAGCTGTAGTATGACTATATAAGTATATAAATATCCGGCCTTATTCTCGTTGAATTCCTTCCGTAGGCGACCTTCTGGCGGGCTATAATATTTCTCGCCTTTCTTATAATGTTCCCGCTTCCGCAGCTCGCTATAGCCTCTATTATGTCGCTCAATATCGGGATCTTCGGGCGATAGGTATAGCGGGGGGCCATGTCGCGGCCGGGCGAAGACTGGTATATTCGGGATCAACGCCAACCACTCGGTACTATTCACCGGACTGGCCTTGAGGTTCCATAGCAGCATTGTGTACCGGAGGGAATACCCCCGAGGTAGAACGACACTCTATTATAGTGCAGAGACGATCCCCATTGGAGTATTGAGTCTTAGATCACGTTGAAAATGTGATTTACATTTTTGACTGGCTCGTTATCTGCCGCAGTTGAGAGGGCGTATAATAAGCCGAGAAACTTGAATAGCGGGAGGAGTGATGGCGGTCGCATTCTGGAGGGAGATCAGTGCAAGACCCCACTGGTAAGAGAAGTGAGAAAAAATGTACTATATCGGGAAATTTTTATCAGATTGCAGATTGTTCGAACTCTCAGGTGTCACATGTTCCCATAGTAGTAGACTAGCCCTCTTTCCTCCTACATCCATCTGTACAACATACAACTATCATCATCCACATTACATTGTGCTTTCATGATCTCATCTACCCAGTAGACTCTAACACAGATCTGCCTGCATGAGCGGAAAAGGCACAGTTCATATATGATAAGGCTGCAATATATTCGAAAGCCGCGTCATCAATTCGTGGCTATCCACTTTTTGGTAGTTCGGCCCAACACTAGGAGATAAGCTATGCCGGCCGATTCGGGTCAGGCCAGGTTAGATGGCGTGACGGTTAAAAAAAGATACCTATTGTAGTGGGGGACCTTGTCTTCCACTACGCATTGACCTTGCCTGTCCTTTCTTTACTGAGTGGCCTCATTATATAATCATGAAGAGATGGAGGATACAAATAGCAGGCAGAGACATATTGATAATACACATATCTACACCCATCTGAATCGACTTCTTGGGCAGCACGCCCAGGTTCCTTTGTATGCACAGCTGGGTATGAAACTGAACTGCGAGTGCTGAATCGACCCGTGTGCCTTTGAGCATACAGACTTGAGCATTCCCCTCTTCACTATATAATATGTGTACTGATAATAGAACGATGCTATATTACATATAAGCTAAAAATGGAGGAAAGCCGGAGCGCTACCACATCGAGGCCTTGCTTTGTTCCACAGATCACCAGGATCGGCACCTTCTCAACGTAACAATACTAAATAATTGCTGTTGACGTGGCCGTTTTGCCCTTTCCTGGTGGTCCCGTTTGAGGCATTGTAGAATCGCATATTCCATGTTATCAACAGTGCGAGAACCGTACAGCCGGGTGATGCAATTCTGATAATAGAGGTGTGCGCCTAGCTACCAGGCTAACTTGAAGTTCGAGTCGGTGACTTCCTCAGCTCCGATGCCGAGGAAGAGAGCCAGGGGCTCCGAAAACGAGAAATCTTCCTGTAGTAGAACGTACAAGATGCTGCTGCGGTTCAGCTTCAGGAAGCTTTCGTGCGGAGATAGAGCACCTCGAATTTCTCGCTTCTGTAGGGTGATTGAGCAGGGCCTGGCGCCTTACGCTTAGACGTTGTGGTGGGTGATGTCTCTGTGGAGGAGAGGTGGGAAGGTTGCCGGATGAGGGTAGTGGTGATATGAATACCACTAGCCGAATCGTTCAGGGCCAGTCGCGAAATCCTTGAGTACGGGCTGGACAAGTTCGCTTGCCAGCTGGTTACGTCGATAGAGTGTGGGCGCTCCATAAGGAGCAATTCTTTTGGCCCGCGGGCAAAGCGGAAGTCAAGCTGTATGTGGCGAGTACCAACGGTGTCGTACTCCAGCTGTAGGGTCGCATCGGTAGGTTGTTGAAGAACAGGGCCGAGGAACTGTCCGAATGGAATCCCTGGGCTGCCAGACTATCGTGTCGCGTCTTGCGGTCCACCAACCATACCTGATGTCGTAGGTTGGAGTCTGTCAGGACGCAGTGATCGGCATTGTTCCGGCTTTCTTTAAGCTAACATAGGAAGGCCGGAATGCTAGGACCATTAAGGTTGCGGCCTATAGGAAATAACTTCATAACCTTAGACATTCAACTCCATTCTCATTCAACGGGCGAACCAGAGAAGAATATGCCATAACTAGGTTCTAGAATCCATTGTTTACTGGAGTTGGCCTAGATTGCTGGGTGCGCTCTATTGGTCTAGGAACGAGACATATTGCGAGGCTAGCTGCATAACGAATAGGCTGTAATCAAGAGTATCATTTAAGTAGACCAGCATTTTCTCATGGCACTTCTTTCCCCAAGCAATTGTTTGAGCCTCGAATAAGCTGCATTGCCCCTAGTGTTATCCGGACATAGGAATGAGTCCATATATGCTTTGGCCTAGCCCTCACGACGTTTGATATCCCCGACCGATACTACCAGTAAATCTCAAGGCAGCTGTTAGGCGTAAGGTTTCAGGATTGGTGCTCTTGTCGGAGCACTCGATATGGTAGCCCTCGATGTCTGTCAGGCGCAAGAGGGTGCTTTTAGAACATTTGTCGAAGTCTCCGAGTAGAATAGCCGTGTCTTAGTAGTCACTGCCGACAGCGTCGATAGCTGTATCCCATTGCAATTCCATCTTGTACCGCTTGTCGCTTCGTAGAGTAAAATACTGATGGGAAACGTGCCGCTTCATCTTCACAAAGGACGCCGAGACGATGATTCATTGGTTCAAATCTCTCCAACTCCTTTGAATGTAGCTTGTTGATTGTGAATTCTCATTGGAAATGTTCTCAGGGGTCCGTGATTCCCTTATTTGACCGTTCGGGTCAAAGTCGATGGGATACATTCGGCCTCGTTCGGCAAACTAGTCCGAAGATCTGGTTGTCCAAATTCTCTTGTCCATCTAGCACAACCATGGCTTCGTTAAGTTCTTCTATATATACGCGCTGCAGGGAGATAGATACAAGGTAGAAGCCGAATGCCCTGAACTCTTGGTACACAGCAATTCAGTCCCAGAATTCCCGAAGGATCTCGTCACTAGCAGCGGCCCGTTCGATATTTTGATAACGGATGTCCAGCAAGATTCCTAACTCGGTGTCGTTGAGGGAACGGATAGGCGAGCCCTCTGCCATGGCTATAGCTTGTCAGCTTTCATTCTGAATATTCCTTCGAGTGAAGGTGAAAGGATCTCACCGACTTGCGGAATAGTAATGGGTCTTTAGCGAAGGACACGAAAAGAGAAAAGAATGATGTGGTGGAAGGACCTTTAAGAAACACACCGAGTTAGTTTGGGAATATCACAACTGTTATTATGACCCGTGAATGCTTACTAGTGAATCAGCGAGTTGGAATGACAGAATACACCCCTAGAGGAGGGATAGTGGGAATCAGTGGAAGTCACACTTTCGTCAATTTCATCCTAGATCTTCCTTTGTGGCCAATTCCCGAAATAGATAATCCATTCACTGAGTAGGGAATGGATAGGACAATCCGTCTGTCTTCACATTCAATGGTAATGTAACAAGCATTATTGTGCATTGTGTACCTAGGTATTGTTCAATTAGGCAGCACCACAATCACATAAGCTAGTGTGTTGATTGATTCATGACTTCGGATGTTTGCTTGCCCGCAAGGTATAGATATCATACCCCCCCTGGCTTGATCTCTCTTTCTTCTTCTTTCCCACCTCGCCGTCAAATTTCCTAGTGGTTATTACCCTTACGTTTCTCACTTCACCGGTGTTTCTTTTCTCTAACCATCGATACTTCACTTTTCTTTTTCTTCAACCATCAATATCTCACCTTTTTCTGTCTTCAACCATCAATACCTTCCATCATGGCAACTGAGGCCTCTCAGAACCCTGACAATCCTGGTGACACGTCTGCTGGCGAGAACTGGCCACAGCCTGAGATCACTACAGAGGTTCAGGACGGCAGCGTCAACACGCCTGATGTCGTTAGTGAACTGGATCACAACCTACTCATCGCTGAAACTCCCCAGTCTCCCACCACTACCCTGGTTAATGAGGAGACACTCACTACTACCGACCATCCTGGTGACACGTCTGCTAGCGAAGACAAGTCTCAGTCTGAGATTGATACAGAGGTACAAGACGGCAGCACCAACGCGCGTGAAGTCGTTAACGACCCGGACCGCAACCCAACCGCTGCCGAGATCGAAAGAGACCCCATCTTTAAAGAGTCTGGCTTCTACTCATTCCCATGTGTTTTGCTCGACAATAACGACCAGTAGCTGGGTGATTGGTATGACGGTGATGAAGTTGTCAAACTTCAGTTCAGATCATTCCCTGACTTTTCCGAGCCACGCATTGACATCCGACTCACGATCAAGTGGAATGATGAGTGGGGTGTCCCAAGCGCTGAGTGTCCAGCGAATGCAACCTTTCGGATTTTCAATAACCAGATCGAGTCAATTGAGCCGCTTCTCGTTGTCTCCCATGTAAGTCCAATTTGCCTTTTCCCTTCACCTATAAATCTCGACGAGCATTACTGACTCCACCTTTCTCTAGGACCCTAAGAAAGAGCCCCAAACTTTTGCCGATGCCATGAAGGTCATTACTCCTAGTAATGAAATCCCCGCTTTTGCTGAGCTTCTTGCCATGCAATTTGGCATCTTTGAGAGCAAGAAAGTTATGAACCTGATCGCGGAGAATCGGCTTTGGGTTATTTGCATCAAAATGAAGCAGCTTGAATACGACGACATGTTCGGCAATTGTACAAACTTGGAGATTGAACCTGATCTCCAGCGGTTTGGGATTGGCCTGTTCAATCAGACTCACACGTACGGCAATCAAACCGATAAAGCGCGGGCTGTTCGTGACATCTTCTACAACGACGATCTGTTCTGTTTCGTTGTCAAGGGACCTCATCTCGACGATATTATCAATGATTTCAGAGTCTCTATGGATAATACCCCTCGGTTTCCATTCGCTGGGTTCTTCGGAAAACATTTCGATAAGCCGTTTGTTCAGTGTGGAGACTATACGCCGAAGGAAAAACGTCCAGAGATCAGGCCAGAAACGAACATCGCTTTCCGCAACGATGATTACTACACGGTCTTCTTGGGCTATGCGGCCATTGCAGAGCACGAGAGCGAAATGGTTGGTTGTGAGCAAGGCAATTACTTTGATGCGTATATCAGGGTCACTCCAATCAGCAAGCAGGAGAAAAACAAGTTCATCGGTTTCCTGGAGCTGCCGAGTTACATTGCACGTTTGAAAGTTAACTCTGTCATTTCCTTGCGTTTCCAGGAGGAGGCAACGGCCAACCCGGAAGCCCGTGTTGCTGATCCAAACGTGGAACCAAAGCGGCATGTTTCTACTACGCCCAAGGATATGGATGTTTGGCTTGGTCGCGTGGTCGATCCTCTCCCAGCTGCCCCGAATGACACAACATCGGTGATTATTTACAGGCCATACAACGAGTCTCCAAACGCTTGTCAAGCTTCTCTGATCCTAGATGGCAATACGAAAAAGGACAGAGATACCATCAGGGATGCCATGAGTCAGAAGGTTCAATGCAAAATTCCAGCAAACGAAAAGCAGTTCAAGCAACTTCTGGGTTGCATCCACGATTTTCAGGCCAAGTGCAACAAGGAAGTCCACGATCCGCTCATGGGTGGTGACTCGATGAACATCCCCCGATACGACTTCTGGAAAGACATCGACCCTGCCCTTGTCGATCTCGCGAAAAGGAATGATCGCATCTACACGGATGCTAGTCAAATCTTCACGAACTTGGGTCATATGCCGGGACGCCTTTTTGTCGTGACTGGAGCAGCGGGGACTGGAAAGTCCCACGTTCTGTCTCTGCTGAGTATTATTTAGGCAAAGCGCAGTAACTTTGAGTACCCCGTTCACCCAAAGGATTTCGATGGTAGCTGGCTTCCAACATTCACCAGTTATGTTAAGTCTACTGTCGGGGAAAACGAGGCTCCTCAGAAGAAAATGGTCAAAGGACAATCTGTCATTGTCTGCCCAACAAACGCCTCGGCCGACAATACCGCGGAGAGACTGGATAATCTTGCGACACGGCTCCTCCCTGACGAACCTGTGATGATCATTCGAGTACATTCCCTTGAATCGGAGTTTAGTATTGCGGAGGGCAGGTATACCATACCGCAAAGGACATACCCTATGACCGATCCAATCAGTCAGCCTGAGCATGAGTCGAACAAAAGCCAAGCAGACGACATGGATGAGGAGTTCGCATACAACGCTGTCATCGCGTATCTTGATAGCGTTAAATTACACTTTGATCGCACAGAGCCTAAGACGAAGTCTCCAATCGACGGACTTCAGGATCACCGCGTCAAGACGCTGAAATACTCACTGGGGACGCGCATGCTACAAGTCGCTGGGCTCGTTGAAGGTCCATTCAAGTCGGAAGAGAAATTCCCAAACTTTATCTTGCTGTACCGTAACCGCCTGGGTGCCGGCGGTCGCCTTGAACAAGATGAAGAAAGGCGCTTCAAATCTGATTGTAAACGACTTATGCGCCTCGTGATTGGTATGGCGGACATCATTGTTTCTTGCCCTTCGGCAATCGCTCAGCCCATCCTATATCATAGTCTGCATCCTTCTTTTGTGGCGTTTGAGGAGGCTACTATGATGAAAGAACCAGAGATTTTGCCAATCCTGGTTTACTTGTTCCCGATTGCCTTCGGATTTTTCGGGGATCCTAAGCAACTTGGCCCAACGATTGTGTCGACTACCGAGGAAAACCCCTTCAGGTCCCAACTGGCTGTTTCCCTTCTCCCTCGACTCATCACCGCGGGATACGACGTCGGGAAACTGATTGTACAGCGCAGATTAGCATGGGACATCCACGATTTAGTGACTACCGTTTTCCACCAGGAAATGCTGCGTTGGGATTTCGAACACAAGATCGACCCCACTGGTTTGGTCAACCTTGTCAAGACATTCAACAAGCGGAACTTCGACATCGACTCCAATGTCGCCTTCCTCAATTCGGAACACGGGCAGCAGAGTATGTGTGGAACATCATACATGAACGATGCCAATGTCCGGGACGCTCTCGACCTCGCCGATAACCTTCATAATGCTATGGGAGCATCTTTCGACTCAATCGTAATCCTAACTGGATACGAAGGGCAGTACAGAGCGTATTTGCAAGAGGCGGACAGACGCAGCAATAACTCGCAGATCCCGTGGCTTGATCTAAATATCCAGAAGATCGAGACTTTCCAAGGAAGTGAATGTGACTTCGTCATTTTCGATGCGGTACGCACTAAGGGCCTTGGCTTTATGGCAAACTTCCGGCGCTGGCATGTTGCTCTGAGTCGCGCACGATTTGGCCTTTGGGTTATGTATTCAGATACTGTTCTTCGAACTGACCCTTTCGCCAAAACTTCGAAGTACATCCAGGGGATGCGGGAATTTGCCAGCTCCAAGCAATTGAAAGTGACACTGAAAAAGCCAGAGTATGAGTCGTTCCCAGAAATTCCTCAGGGCAAAAGCGTTACTACTTCTGGGGTCAGTGCTCACAATAAACTGCGTGCTGCCTATGCTGCTCGTCGTGCTGCTCGTCGTGCTGCAAATGTTAGTGAGGCATCTGCTACTGGCGAGACATCTACTGCTAGTGAAGCACCTACTACTAGTGAAGCATCTGACTGGTGAGCCATCTGCTACTTGTAGGCGCACGAAGTTTGGCATTTCTGCTTTTTGGGCATTGGGGAAGAAGTCCAAGAGGCAAGGAAACCGACACGGTCGTCGAGGTTACCTACATTTTCTACTGTTTTGATTAATATTTGTATCTGGGAGGATATGATCACGGGCTCAGCATGATAGAAAAGGAAAAAATATCAAAAAAAAGGAACAAATAGCATAGCCAAAAAAAATACAAAAAAAAGGGGAAACCCAAAAAGAAAAAGAAAGCTCATTTCCATATAAGATAGACGACTAACACCTAACTAGGCAAAGTGATATACTTAGTTATCATAAGAACCCGACGCTTTCAAGATACTCTGAAGAGTTACAGCGATCTTCATCCCTCCCTTCTCTCCCCCTCCTCCCTCCTCCCTCCCCCTCTCCCTCTCCCTCTCTCCCCCCTATTCCCATTATATCCCTCCCTCTTCCTCAAGATGTGCTAGGGCTTATGAGCCGAAAGAAATTCTTCGTCACTTCGATTATTGTGTTTACACTCTTATTGGGTCCTTGGGATCACTGTTGCAATAGCGGATAGTGGTTTCTTGAGTATCCGTGGCTTATTAGCCTGACGCTTCTCATTATTCCCTTCATGAATAGCAAGTAGGTTATGTCTCCAGATACGGCACGAAGGTCTCGCTGACAGCACACGCAGACACAATTGAGTTCCCATTTTTTTTATCTTACTTTGAGCGGGCAATACTTTGCTGCCGCAGACCGCCCAGTTGCCGTCCCGTGACCTCAACGAGACACCGGTCTAGACCTCTTATCTAGGTACCTTCTCCCGCGACATGGTGGAGTTCGAGCTACTGTGTAGTTACATTCTTGTGCATCGACCCCATGGTGATATCTTGCCGCCTTACGCCTAGTTGATGTGAGTTCATCGTTAACAGATAAGCGTGAACTTTGCCTCGGAACCGTGGTTCTGTCTCTCACTCAGCTGCGACTACCTCACCATCATGACTTGCTTCGAGGAAGGACCGACCTGTGTACCAAACCATTCCAACTCCCTTTCTCTGGTGTAGGTGACTCCAAGCACATCCCTCTCGATGAAACACAACTGACCAAAATATGACTGAACCAGGTCCCGAGCGTGAGGCAATGCCACCGCCACCCTCGCCAGGCGGCCGAAGACAATCATCTGAGTTCAGTTCGTCCTCACGTCGCCCTCATACCGCCAGGTCTCTTGCATCTAGGCACACAACATCTTCCTCTGCCATGTCGTTAGCATCAACTGAGTCTTTTGCGAAATCTGACGTCTTTTCGACCGCCACAAAAACCGAGATCAAACGGCTCGCTGGAGATTCCTGCTGGGTATGTCGATCTACAGACCCTCAGATCTGCCATGTGATCGGAAAAGAAGACAAGCAGGTGCGTGATACTATTGCTGCTGGTTCGAATAGAATATAGCTAACCATGTTTGGATAGGTGGACCTTTGGTTGAACGCGGGCCTCATCGACTTCAGCTTGACATCGGCAGCAAATGGGATCCCGCTCTGTGGAACCTGTCACACGCAATTTGATCGAGATCACGACCTAGGTGTCATATTCATACCGACCGACTTGCAGTACTTTATCGATTTTGAACTTGATGATAGAAAGCGGAGATCCACTAGCAGCGTTCTTGATCGAAAGGTCCCAACGAGTGTCATGTACAAGGACCATTTGATGAAGAACAACAAGATCTTGGAAGGTGCGACTAGTGGACTCTACCGTCGAATTTTTCTTAAAGATTACCTACACCCAGGTCTTATCTCTCCGGAGGATCTCGGCGTTACGACTTCCAAACAGTGGCATGGGGCACCAATTGCAACGTTGCGACGAGGCATTATGGCCCTCGGGAGTCCGAGGATCACCTTCCTTGACGAAGCGACAGTCAATCAACTGCAGACACTTCGTGATCTATACTTCCGGCCGACAGAAGACAACCTAGTCAACATCCGGAGCAGTCGACCCCTACCAGACCATCAAGGCGAGAAGCGACCCGCGGATGGTGACGAGGGGCAACTTGAAAGCAAGAGGGTTAAACAGGATCCGACCAGGATGGATAAGCCCGAGGACACAGATAGCAACAACTTCAACCACCAGCAGAACCGCGGCCGGGCTTTCAAAGACGAGTGGGTTTTAGGACCCGATCTAACCACGCAAGAAGTCATTTGTCGCTATGCTCCTGTATTTGCTCATCATTGACGGCTCTACCGTTCATCGCTATGCTCGTATGCCTGGTCTCTCTGCATTGCGCCGAGACTATTTTTTTTTTTATTCCCTTTGTGGCCACAACGTTTGCCAAGTTGTAACACGGTGTTCCGGTCCGGTCACCGGACGGCAACTCAGCTGTCTACGGCGGCAGAAAGCCACTCCCATTAAGTCCTCTTCTATTGCTCTTCTTTTACCCTGTATTCTAGTCTTCAATTGAACAATTTGATATGAATTCCTGTTTTCACTCTAGATCTTAACTTCCAAGTTGTGACCACGACATTCTCGACAAGGCTAGAGTGCCACTCTCGTTCATTCTTGCTTTATTTAGTGACCAACGTAGGGTGTAGACTTCCGCAGAACCCATTTTGGGTCGGAACCTTCGACCCAAAACCCAAACCAGCATAATCGGCTCCCTAAACATCGACTTCGTAACAGCAACCCCAGAACCAAGCGAAACCCTCACAGCAACCTCCCTAACCGTCTCCGATCGATCCGGAGATCGATGATCGTGCAATCTGGCGTTCGAACTCCAAATTCAGCCATTTCTGGAAGATTGAGGGACATATGAGGAGCAATGGGGATACAAAACGGTCCATGGCGCCTGTCAAGGTCCAGCTGGCCGAGGCGAGAACCAAAGCACAGGCCAGGGAAATTATCCAAGGTATGCCATAGCCGACGAGGAAGAGTAAACCGGTAAGCTCCGCGAAAAAAACGCCGGCAACTTCTGCCATATCCGCAATAGAGTGGCAGTGAGGATGCTTCTTGCGAAAGTTGCCAAGATCACGAAGGAGTAAGTGTTGAACGCACCCCATGCGACGATACTAATCGAGCCACCACCGCACCGAGGGAGTATAGTGAAGCTGGCAGCGATAGCACACCCGTCGCGAAGAGGACCTTCACGAAGATAATACACGCCTTGAACCAGCCAACGCCGCGGAAGCTGACGCCATCCTCGGTCTTCTTGAAGACCTCATGCTCTTCCTACCTCCGTGTCATCCACGCTTGCTTTCTCATTGATGGTCATGATGGATGGTTAAGTTTGGTTCAGAAATTGAACCCACTTGGGAAAGCAGAGTTTAAAACTGGGACGCCCCGGAGGAATGAAAAAAATCATAACAAGGGTATTGTTCTCTCTGTCGGACTTCTCACATGGCGGTAATTAACTATGGACCCTGCAGTGCAAGCGTTGATAAATTACCACTAGTTGCAGTACGCTAGTATGCCGCGGCCACGCTTATTTGCAGTTAGTTTATTGACTTCGCTATAGCCACGAAAATTTCCTGAATTTCTGGGATCACATCATTCGGGGTCATCCTCCTCGTGGTTCCTGGCGAGAGTTACTTTCTTCGTACCTCGGAAAAGGAATTCAGAAGATGAGGTTGCTACCATCTCGCTAGCAGCACATCAGAAGTGGCGTGGGGCCGAATGTTACCACAAAAGATCGGACTTGCTCTTTGAAGCTCCATCAGAGCTTGGCTAGTTCAGGCTAATTGGTGCGGACCGCAGGACCAGCTGTTTCCTAGTGATAATTTTCCAAGCCTTAAATTTTCGGCTCAAACATCCTTCCAAAGAATACGGATGGCAATGAATCTTGGCCTTTGACATCGAACACGCGGGAGGGAAGACGGGAGAGAAGGGACAGAAGGAGCTACCTGAGGTGGGTCCTACCACGTGCGCCTACCGTGCCCTGGGGCATCAAAACTACCGATCAATAAAATCATTATTATATTTGTTTACCGAGAACTCCTTCGTGGTTGAGTATTCTCTAATAGAAATTTTTTAGAAGTAATCCAGGATGGTGAGCTTTAGGTATAAGAGGGAGGAAGAAGGGGAAAAAGTGAGAGGTGCCAACGATCTGCATGGGCCGCTTCATAAGATCTAAGTCGCTAAAGTGAAAAAGGCACCGATCTTATGAGTATGCCGATCCTGGAATGGGACACACACTATCCCTAGCCGCACAAGTATTGCAGTAACATAAGAAAATAAGAATATCATTCGCAGACCAGGCTTGCCCGGATATAACTCAAATATAACAGCATAAACCCAACAAACATTACAAAACTGTGCTGTATTGGGACATCGATACACTTCAATCAACAACACACAATACAAAATGAGAGGAGGTGGAGCGAGCCCGTCAGCGTGTTCAACAATTGCATGAGTCCGTCGAGACCTATCTACAAAGAGCAATCGACGCCATGAACCTTCAACAGGCCTACATCACCCAGGCCCAGGGGACAGATAGGACCCAATCTGCTGCAGTACTGACCACTCTATCCGGATACATCAACTTAACAATGCAGAATCTAACCGCAGCCTACCGTCACCAGAGTGCCCTTTCACAACCCCTTGGCGCGCTGAATGTAACCCAAACTCGCCTAGACCAAGCTCAGATTGAGGCGATCAATGCTCTTCTGGTGCTCCTAAGCGATCTCGTTACGCGCCCCGATGCACCTATCTAAGCAAAGAGGACTACTACATAAGAGGAGGATTTGGTTTTTTCTCTATACATTCACTCTATTTTTATACCGCCTCCGTCGGAGGGGTTCTTCCTCCTAACTTATATTTATAACTTTCTTCTAATTCACCCGCTTTGTTGAATTTTCCATCGTATAGAGTGCAAATTCCATCTCCTTAGCATCAATTTAAATCTTCTGTAGTAGTTGCTAGGTTGCTCCAGCTTCTGGGAGCGATCCATTAGAGTCTATAGGAGGAGTCGCGGCCAAGGAGAGGCGGGTCAGATTCCGGTCAGACACTACTCATCTTCGTTCACTTAAGAGGCCTCGGTACAACCATGGTCTGACTATGATTTGTCCATGGGCCAATGATATCCGCATGCCCTCCGAAGTCCTTGAGCTCACGATCGTACTACGGTTTGACTACGGTTTGACTATGGGAAACTTATCTCTAGGCGTAGATTAACTATAATTAGTCTGTGATAACCATAGTCTAACCATGAACCACTTCAGACAAGGAAATATCCGAAAATAAACCTATTAGTTCTAGCCTTATAGAAGGATCAATTCGCTTAGAGAAATCTCTAGGAGAATCACTTACGAGCAGCGCGTTGGTAGGATTTCGTGACCAAACTAAGTTTAATGGTGTACGAGGTTCGTAGTAGAACATGGGCATTATAGGTAGATGTATGTGATTGCTAGCGCAAATTAAGCAAGGAATTTGAAAGTAGGTATGCTCTGTATAGCCATACACCACCTATGGATAGCATAAACAATCAAATACATACAGAAAAGAAGAAAAAAAGGGAGCAACCTCAATTATAAGACCTAAGTGGAGCAAGTTCTGCACCGGAGGAATAAGAAGTGTTGTCAAGCCGGGGAGAGGTCCATACGGTATAGTGCAGGATTCGGGTCCGCAGGGTCCAGGCCCTGACCGAGCTCCTGGTCTGAGGTTTGAACTTTCTTACTAATGGATGGACCCGGACCTATGGTGGTTGGGTCTATAACAGTCGGTGACGACAGGCGCCGATTCCGCGTGGGAAATACCACCGGCTAGCGGGATAAGAAAAATGGGGAGGTTCTCCTAACCTCCTATACCAACCGCTCCTCGCGGCTGGACGCCTATGGCGTAACCAGTTGGCCCTTCGCCGGGACTCTGTCTGAATCCATACGTGTATGACTCGCCTTCTACCCCGGAATATACCATAGGCTCCAGGAAGATGAAGTGATTTGTTGGTTCAGTCACCCGTCCCTTAGGCCTTCTACCCTAGATTCACCAGGAACATTTGGACGGATAGGGACGGGAACCACCTCACAGAGGCTGGTTTAGGACAGGACGCCTTCCCTGCGTCGGTCGCCAAATGGCAAACGGATACACGAGAGTGGCGATCTAGCCTTGTCTGAAGGCGGTTTCGAGACTAACGGGAAACGAGGAACTAGGTGGTATACTAAAATTGCATAGTGGTTCAATTCCAGACTAAATACAAAGTAAAAGAAGAACAAATTAAAGGGTTCTGACCACCAAGCAAACTTTTGTGTCGTCAACACTACGTATTGTACCGTCTCAATTGGGCCTCGGAGGGAAGTCAGGCGAGTTACGTGCCTTCCAGTGCTGGGAGCACTTGACTAACTCCATCCATCTCAACAGTTTCCTTATCGACCAACCATGACTATAGTCCATCACGACAACATGGAACCTTCATCAGAGCTTATTAGCTTTGAGGAAGCGCCTCCGATCGAGAATCCCAACCCCACTATGCCAGTTGCTGATATTCTATGGAGCCCTCCACCTATTGATCCATTACCAGAACTTGGGGATACCGAGAGAGCAAGGTTGATCGACACACTGAGAGAGGTGACAAAGGAAAGCGAGGTGGACTCAACATATTGGGCATGCCTCTGGTTGTCCGATATTGAATGCCTTCGAGAGATTCTCCGGGTAGCGGAATATTCCAGATCCACTACGTCCTACTTAATGAAAAGCAAGACTGCTTTCACTATGATCAGGGCTTGTGAGCTACTTCCGCCTTTCATACCCCTTTCTAACCGACGGAAGTATTGATATTGAAACTTAGGGAAAACAAGGCCGAGGACGATCGCGGGGCTCCCTGAGACACAAGGGAAGCGAAAGTTGGGGGAGGAGATCCCGAAGCGAAAATTCAGTGCCAAAACAGCTGTGAGTCATCTAATTTGCATGGAGGGAGGAATGATCAATACACTAATACCTTGACTAGTGTCTTGAGCGCGACGATTTCAACTGTGTGATCACCAATTTCCCCCAGCAGGTAGATGTGGCTCATATCTACCCGCTATCCCTAAAGAAAAGTCAATCATCGGGAAACAACAAGAAGCGCACTGATACGTACGACGACTTCTGGACAACGCTGCATATGTTCTGGGGCGAAGACCAAATCGATAAATGGGAAGCCCGGTTGACCGGCCCAAATGGCACAGAGCTTTGCGAGAATTTGCTTTGCTTATGCCCCAACGCCCACAGGCTTTGGGGGGCTTGTTACTTTGCCCTCCAGCCGCTCCATCTGCGCGACGACGGTAAGGGGTTGATCACACGTTTCTACTGGCTGCCCAAGGCCACGCCACACAAGGTTCAGGTTCGGGACAAACCAAGTATTTCGCTTCATCCCCCCATGGAAATACTCAATCTTCATGTTGACAACACTGATGGATCCACGCACAAGATGAATTCTGGTGATCTGGTCATTTTCCAAACCAAGGATCCAGAAAATCTGCCATTGCCATCATGGGATCTCCTCCAAATGCAATGGATTCTCCATAGGATCGTTGCCCTTGGTGGAGCAGCCAACGTCCCTATGAAGCCGTGGGATTGCGATAGTGAGGATGAGGGTTCCGACGTGGGGTTCGAAGATATTTTCGAGCCTTACCAGGATGAAGACTTTGTTGAGTCTGACTAGGATGAACTTTCTGCCGGTGTGGAGTCTGAAGATACTGTTGAACCTGATGAAGAAGATGCGCAATTGCCCCCGATTCTTGGCCATCCGTCTCGTTTCTAGTCTTCCTTCGAGATCAACCCAAATGCAGACTTCCCTCCCCGACGATCTCCCTCGAGTGAGAAGTCTCTACAGAAAATGGCTGTTCTTCCTTCCGTCCCGCATGCTAGAGGCTCCGAGAACATCGCACCGCATCACCTAGCTTATGTGAAAAAAAGTGTCGTCGCCTCTCGAGGAATGGAATATCGTCCTCGCTCATCTCGTGACAGCCTTGGCAATTATCATTTTGAGTGAAGACGTGAATTAGTTCCTAGGTACTCTAGGTACCTATTCGCAGACGGATTGCCATTGAGGCTGCGTGTGATTATTCTTACCTGAATCGCTATCTTCGGTCGCTGCAGCGGGTTTGCTCTTCTTATTCATTATCCTTACCATATTTCTATCGTTTGGCCTATTGCTTCGGGTCTGCGTTATTCTCGCTGTATGTCTATCACGCTTTGCTTTGTTGTTTCTCTGCGCCTTGTGCGGCGAGATGTATTATTAGCTAGGAATGTTTTCTTCAATTGAATCATAGTTTATGATTCTACTTAACAAGCTATGAAGGGAGAGTGTGTTCTTAGGTCGATATCTATAACCCCTTGGGTATTATCTGTCGAATACCAAGTCCGAATACATGGCAGAAACCAGGTATTATACTGGAAACATCATGTGACATTGGGTACCAGGCATACCATACATTAGTGCATATTACAGTTAGTCATTGTCAACATCGGTCATCTATATCATACATTGTCGTACACCAGCTTTCTGTCAGGTACTTCTGGTTGCCAGCCTGTCCCGTTCATCATATGTTCTGTGCAAGCAAAGGGGGTAGGTAGATAATTGGTCCCAATCTGCATCCCAGCAATATTTTTGACTGGTACCGTTATCACTCCACGACTCAAACTTGCTTGAGCACCAATGTTGCACTTTCTATGAGCAGTCCAGGGGGTGGAAATAAGCAAGCACGGGTAGTGTGGCATTGTGCGGCGGCGGAAACGTGTCGGATTGCTTAGGGTTGCTGCCATTCTTGGTGACAGCAAGGAGATTGAAAGTACCTCCCTCAAGACCACTTCCATACGTGGACATATAATCTCTGGGCTCCAGCCGGCTTATATTTTTTGTTGTTTGTAGTACCATATTGCGCAGCCAGCAAGTCACGTAGCTCGGCTGGTTTGAAGTCTTGTACTGCGCTATCGCGTCGCGTCTGTAGTCGAGGCCAATAGAAGTACCTTCTTCTAGAAATACCGGCGTGACCACCAGGCCGCCGTAGTCGTTGAAAATGGTCGTCATAAGAACTGCCGAGTGCTATAAAAGATGAAGAGGCAATGAGCTCAGCGCGAGCGCAAGCACAAGCTAGAACATCGCTTTGGGTCGTGGATATACGACAGGTTTCGCACTGGATAGATTCCGATATCAAGCCACTTTCTCCGCCTATGAGCCGTATCGACCTTTTTGCGCGTTGGCGCGGTGAGCCTTTGCATATTGTAAATGCTTGCGCTGACGAGGACGGTTGCAATGACGTTGATCGCATAGTGGAAGCGACTGTCAATGCTGCGGGTCTTGCCGCAGTCATGGCCGAGAATCACGCCTAGCCCGTCCTCATTAGGTGGATACTTGGTACGAATGTAAGCAGTGGCCACTATGTTAAGACACAGGCAAATTGCGACGAAGATTCCCGAGAGTAGAGCACCCAATCTCCACCCGTGGAAGAATTTAGAGTCAGAGGGTGGCTGGCGCTCTAATTGACTATACTGCGTGCTCGATCGGAGAACGGTTCGAGAGTACCAACTCATTGTAGACTCCAAGGTCGTGCGTTCGACCTTGGGTGGTGTTTTCGTGGAGAGCTCGATGCTCTCTCATTAGCAGTCGAGTCTATGTTCAATGCCGGTCCACGGGAGCTTGAAAAAGAAGACGAGACCATATACCCCCTCAAATAAGTTACAAGGCTGATGCCGGGCTGAGTTGGCCCCTAAGCATCGTCTTGGCAGCAAGGCATCTTTACTTTTTTAGGATGTCTGTCGATCATTTCACACTACGGCGATCGAACTCGATCAAGATTCTAGCGCACTGCCAGCTCAAGTGAAACGGGCTGGTGCTAGCTTATAGTAAAATCCTTCATTTACTGGAGGGTTACCCAACTAAAACGATTCAAAACACACGGCAGGGTTGAACATCATGTCTTACACAGAATAACATAACATGGTAGACTATAAGCTCAAGAGCAATGTGAAATCAGGACAACTCTTCAAGCTCCTAGGAATGAAGGCAAAGGGCTTGTTATCGAAGTGAAACAGAGAAGGGTTGACGTCGGCCAGACCGAGGTTGCTCAGGGACTAACTCGTGCGAAGCGGTGGTACCATGCACGGGAACGCACACGGGCAAATAGCGCTAAACCTAAGGGGACAAGACTAAACCTAAGAGGGTAATTCGTAGTTCCCCTCCGATAGGGTGCATGGAGTATCTAATAACCCCACTTTATGCTTGATACTTCAAACGGTCACGGATACGTCGCTCACGTCAGACGCCAGTTGTGCTGCCAGAAAGCTTTCACGGGGGAAGGAAATATGATACAGAATGTCGTATATATTTAGGATGTGGTTATACCTTCGACTTTTGTAGCATGTCCTGCTCTATAAAAATGAGAAAGAAATCTGTATTATCTATAAACAACCGAGGCTATGTAGCTAGTTATGTGGTTAGTTAACAAATAACTAACAGAAGCCTGGAAAACAAGACGTCTACAACCACTACTGTGGGTTTCTTAACAACAATCTATACACCTTCATATTTCACATATAAGAGAAAGAGGAAAACAAAACAAACATTCGCACAAGCACTCGTTGACCCATGAAACTTGTCAATGCTCCACTCCAGCCATATAACTCGACCTGGAACCCTGGTCTATCCAGCCGGGTTTGCACAAGTGAAAGGGGTGAGTTTACCGGACTTGAAATCCGCGTTCATGGCAGTGACTGAAGCCCAAATTCCCAGGCCAGCAGCGGATAATGCAGCAAGCGAGTAGATAAGATCGAAAGTGTTCCAAATAAACTTCTTCTTGTAACCTCTAATCAACCGCTTTATTCCACTGTCCACGCGCTGCACCTGGCCAGTTGTGGGATTGAAATCCTCGTCGGGGAGTATCGCATCATTCTGGACGTTGAAACCAACCAGCAACAGTGGTGGGAATGTGTAAGAAAACTGCAGGATGCAGGCAGCTCCCACAAAGGATGTTAGATTGCTGATTTGTGGAATTGCGGCACCAATAATCCAGGCGAGAGTCCAGTAGACAGGCACTAGATGGATTGTTAATATCCGTGTACAAAAGGATCCTTGGGAGAACTAGATCTTGACTAACCGAGCACAACCCACATCCACTTCCCAAATCGGCTGTTCAATTCCGGGAAACGGAAGACATCGCGTAACACGGCAGAATAGAAGACTTTAATACCGATGTTACCATACAGCAGTGCAGCGATGACACCGGTGATAAATGAGATGGCATTGCCTAAAGTCTGGAAATTGTAGGCAGAATTTGGAATACCTGTTGCAAGAATGTTAGCAACTTCAAGATCTCCCTTGATTGTTATGTGGCTTACCTTGATAGGCAGGATTGAATGTAAATTGGCCCTGTGCACTGTACACAACCATGCCCGAGACAAGGTAGCAAACATAGATGAAGATCTCAGCAATGATAAAGCCCTTCCAGAAGTCATATGGCCGCCTCATCTCAGCCATGAGCTCATTGAAGAGGGTTGCGCCGCCGTACGCGAATACAGCGTTCATCATAGCATTAACTTTGTCGTCAAGAGTCGAGCTCTCAGGCCAGTAGCCGGTTGTCTTCACAGGTCCCTTCGGGGTACCGTAACTCGTCAGGGAGGCTTCGTAGTTAGGAGGATACTCATGAACCACAGCCATGGTCATGATGATGACAATGACATTCAGCCAGACCGCTATGTTGGCCAGGTAAGAAAGACGTTGCAGGGTCCGAATCTGCCCGAGTATAAAGCCGATGACCATGAAGATAACCTCAGCAGCGATAAAACAAAGGAACCCTTTACCATTGGCACCAACGGCCATCTGCGCCAATCCTTGTCCATTGGTTACAATGAGCAGGGTCACATTGAGGAAGAACTGGAAGCTTTGTAGGACGTTCACGCCAATACGCGCCCAGTTTCCATAGACGCGGAAAGCCAAATCGCCATAATTGCGCATCGGGAATCGAGTGGAGTCAAGGCCGACGAAGATCTTCCATAGTTGCAAGCCAGAGTAACAAGCCATGGCGCCGAAAACAGTGTAAAGTAAAGCCCCTGGTCCAAAGCCCATTTGACTGATCGCCCAGGGGACATTGGTTGGTCCAAGAATGTCCGTGGAAATGAGATAGAAAATCGAACCCCAGGTTGCGGTTCGTGCGGCCCTTCGTGCCTGTTCCCATTCTGACTCGGTGACGCCCCAATCATCGCTTGTGCTAGGCTTGGCGCTGGGATCAGTCACAGTAGAATTCTGTTCCTGGGTGTCTGTTTGGATTGGCACTGGAGCGTCAGACTTTTTCTTAAGAAACTTCCTGAACATGCCCTCGAATCCCTCATTGTCGGTCAAGATGTGTTTCTCAATCTCGCGTGACCGCTTGGCCCAGTGGACATAGTTCTCAAAGGTGATGCTACTATCCGTGTAGATGGAGTGACCGGTATCAAAAAAGGTAGATGCGGGCTCGTAAGGAGGGGTAGAGTTGGCAAGCTCCTTGGTGGCCATCTTTTCTCCATTCGAATAAGCATCGGCCTCGACACCTATAGTGTCGGAGATCTTATCCGCCATGATGAGAATCGGGTAATCACAAACTATGAAATAGAGATGCAGGAAAAATAGTGGGAGTAGAGGAAAAAACCGTTCTCTTCATATACGGGGAGAACAGATAAGAATCATGTTGTCCACAGGAAATGGCAGTATCGCGTGCCAAAACCATAGAAGCATTAGGATTGGACCTCTGAATTGGTGGACCTTTTTCAGGACCGCTAAGCAATGATCTGTACAAGATTTACGAGGCGAGTTATCAGTCAGCAGCCACCAACGATAGAACTCAACACCAAAATGTAACATTGCCCCGTCTCTGCCGCCGGGGGGCCAAAGCCTCATCACTGTACGACCCCTGCAAGTGGCCACTAAGGCCAGCCACCGTTCCACCGGGTTTCCACACAATCTTCGGCAAAAGCTTGTCTCAGTACTCCGGATTGCTGACAGCGCAAATGATAGCCCACGCGTGATGGCCCGCACTATTTTTGGGGTTAGTTCAGGTGCGGAGCCCAACGGAGACCGTCTGCCCTTTGCCCAAAGTACCGTGAGTGATTTATCTGCGACACGGAGAATGCGATTGTGATTGAAAGCTTACAGTCACACACCGGATGGGCCGGGGCCGTCATTTTTATGAACGTGGCCACCCGCGAACTATGTCAAGGCCGGTCCACTAAATCATAGTAATAGTAATATCCGCTGTGGATCAGGCCATGGCTTTTCCAATGGTTCTTCCCATATTCTGTAATGAAGTGTGTCAGGGACACAGGCCATGGTTCGAATGTTGCACTCGGATGTGAGTTGAGCCGAGTTGAGCCGAGTCAAAGATACTGATTATTCTTTTATTTTTATGTAAATATCCGTTAATACCCAGGCGGCCGTGATAGGCGTTTGACTATCTTCAATGACAATCAGGTTGCTCCTTCCTAAATTATATATAGCGCTTTCCAAGGTTTCTAGCCCGAGGCCAAGAAAAAGTTTCTTTACTAGCTTCTTTTACTAAATATGAAGTACTATTACCTCCCGGCCTCGGGAGTAAATATCCCTCAGCATCTATAGCAATCTTTATATTTACCTCTAATTCTATTTACAGTATTAATATCACTGGGCACCCCGATCCAAGAACCCCGAAATGCGACGATACATCTCCACAGGGTTAGAATACATAGGGAAATGCCCAGCGCCCGCAATATCGGCCAATTCAACACCCTCCTTCTCTAACAACGGCAGATACGACAAGCCACGCATCTCCTCCCCGAACATAAACATGCGCGGACATGGCAATGCCAGAAACTTGTCCATCAAGTCTCCGTGATCAGTCAACTGCACCATTGACTCAAAAATCGGCCGAACCGCAGCAGCCCGGACCCGCGCGCGCAGGGTACTAGCATACATAGAATTGGCAAACGAGCCCGATGTGCGCGTGCGCTCAATAAAAGCATCCATGAACGCCTCGTCGTCGTCAGCTGGGAACATGAAGATCTGGCGGCTGAGGAAGCAATCCTCTGGTGCGAGATTGCCTTTGATATTCACGAAGCTGAGGACACGGTCTGGATGTTGGTTTGCGAGGATGAGGGCTGTCAACCCGCCCATTGAGTGGCCCATTAGGTGGAATTTGTCTATATTGAAGCGCGCGAGCATCGCTTCCGCGGTCTCCACAAGGAACGGGATGTCTGTTGCGGAGAGGTTGTTGCTTGCTGAGTGGCCGCAGCCGGGGGCATCGTAGGCAATGAAGCCATGATGTTTTAAAGATGGCTGGATAGTTAGATCGGCGAGATCTTCTTTACTGGAACCGAAGCCGTGGAGGAAGAGAATTGGTGGGTTTGAGTTGAGTTTATGGATCGTTGATAGGTTGAGACTGACGCCCTCGACTGTGAGGGGGATACATTCGAAAGTGAGTGACATGATGAAACGAATGGGTTTTAATTTCAACCCTTTTTACATTGGATTTGTTTTATATCTGTATCTGTGAGCTCGGGAAAAATTTCTGAAGGATATTTTCAACGGTTCGGCGAAATGACATTTTACCGCGATTTACTCATACAAGAGTCATAGGCTCACAGGCCGATTCACCTCACGCCAACTATCCCAATTCAATTTAAGTCGGTATAGAGCCAGGAATTACGTAAATACCTAGGTAGCTGCTGGCTACTATTCGGTGTTTTTCTTTTTTTCATTTTGGAGGTAATTTGAGAGACAACCCTCAAGATATAGATAGGTATGTCTCCGGTCATCGCTCCATGGACCTCACGCCGGTCTGGTTTTCCAAGGTGCTCTAGCAAATATTATACGGGCCATTTTGATCAGAATGAGACACTAGGACCTGCAATTACTACGATTAACCAAACTTGGTGTACTTTGTATAGGTGCAGAGTCGTGGTAGTTGAAGGGGCGCTACGGTCGCCCGTTAGGGAGTTCACGCATAATGACTTGAATGACCATGTCTCCTAAATAGGGCGCAGATGAACATAAAGAATGCGTCGCGTCCCAGAGGACCTATGGTCTTTCACATCTAGGCGATTTTTCAAGGGTCAACATAGACTCACGACAGGACGATCGGAGACTTGTGTCTACCGGCCCACCGGCTCACAGCCCGATAAGCACATTTTCCCAAAGCGAACACTATATCAGGACTTCTCGGATTTGCTAGTCCGTGGCCTTGGTGTTCACCACCCCACTAACTTCAATGGTCTGCTCATGCGCAGCCGTAACCCTTCTCCAGCAGCGGACGAGACAGCGGTGAAACCTGACGTTAAGACTAGAGTATGGAGCTGGCCGACAAGGGCTGGAATGACCGGGTGCTCATCGCCAAACTCATAGATAGAGGGTTGAAGTGCCGTGGCTTGCCCTTTCTCCTCTCGGTCATCGTATTGAACCTCATTGGCGAGCAACACTCTTGCCTCGAGCCCTGAATAGTTTCAAGTCCCGAAGGCATACAGGATGCTTTCCGCGCCGCAGCATTCCTGGATGTCTAAGCGTGGACGCAGGGCTCCGTTCGTGGGATTGCAGACAGGGGTGACGCTTAACTGGGTTATTGGCGCCGGCCAACTGGTTCCGGACATACCTCACGCCGACGTAGTCCTCTTATCTGTCTTGCTAGCGGCGCGGTAGTCGTCAGGTTGTCAGGTTGTCAGGTGGTAATTTACCAGTTGCTTCTAGTAGGTCATAGTAGGAGGTTAGTATTACTAGTGAGATAGGAAGTATAAATTACGTCCTAATAAGCTGACAGGTTGTCAGGTTTTTTCTTCTAGTAACTCTTGGACCCTTACTAGAAGAAAAAAACCCGGCAGCCTGACAACCTGACAACCTGACAACCCCCCTATTCCTTGCTAGGCATCTACCCCGTGTGGGGGCCGTGATGGACGAACCAGCTCGACGCGTTTTTCGTGATGCGCATCGGTGCGGTGATGCCAGGCCAATCTCCGCCCCGGCTGGCGCATAATCTAGATGAGGTCGCTGACTTCGGAAAGCTGCCTAGGAGGATTGGTGGCGCCACCGGTGTGGAGGATGGTGGGGTTGACGGCGTGGCTAAGTTGTGCCTAGGCGGAGAAATACCGCTCAGAGGGAAGAGATATTGCTGCTATGCGGCCGGTAACATGGAGAGTCCCGTGTGAAGTGAGTTGAGGCAGCCCGAATCCTCAAGAGCTCCCACCGAAAGGGAGTGAGATATTGGTAAGCCCCTGGGAGCGCACGGTGGAATGGATTTCCCCACGCCTTGGTATTTCCCGTAGGTTAGACCTGGATTAGGACAGTGTGTGACTAGGGCTATAATTAGATTGTAAATAATGTAAAGATATTCATGCCTTCATTGCTATGCAGTCAGATCCATGACTCCTGCACGTAGGCTTTTTAGTTGAGTGAGATTCTGCAACAGAAGTCTGTGCGCTAGTATGGTGGTGTAGAATTACTCTTTAGAGTTGACTATGTACTCAATTGATGAGCTCCAAGTAAGTTTGGCCCATGCAAGAAAAGCGAAAGGCCTGACGGCTCTATAGGCGAATAGAGTGAGTGATAAAATCATCTCACTAGGGCGGTTTTAAAGAAGGCCCATGACTCAAAAGGGGCTCGAGGCATTCAAAACAAAAGAAAGCTATGGTTCAGATGTCAAAAAAAAAAAAAAAAAAAAAAATCGGTGTCACATTATCTTGCATCAAGGGGTTAGCACTACAAAGAGACAAATTTCCTTTCCTTTAAAGGCTTATATTATCATAAACGCCGTGCGTCCGGTTAGATTACAAATTTGGCAAGGATTGGCTTGGCGATCGCCTGTAGCTGAGGCTCCGGACCAAGTGGCACACACAGCAATGATTTTTGGTTTGTTGACAGGACAGTCAGGATTGTGATTACAGGTATGCATGGACAGGGATATTCCGTCAAGTGTAGATAGTGATGAGCTTGTAAAACATGCGGCGTGCAGTTATCACATCATATATCAGCTATGCTGGTCATAGCGATGCTGATACATTATAGACAATTCTAAGGCCGTGGAAATAATGCTTCACTGAGGAATGAGAAACCGGACCATCGGCTTCAAATAGATCAGGCTGGAATAGAACTCGCCCCTCGGTCTTGTAAGCTAGGATAACACCAAGAAGAAATAGTATAGGGCTGAACCACGAGAACGATTGCGCCACAAGAAATTTTGCAGCCTGAAAATTTCCCGTCGGGAATGTATGCCAAGTGTTCGAGACTTTATAATTGAGTCAGAATAAGTTCTTGTGAAACCGGTGGACTGCGATTGGGGTAGCTATGACGCTGAAAGGGAAAGTGATCAGCCCTAAAGAGGATAATAAGGGGAGACGAAAAAATCCCGCGAGCCAAAAGGAGCCAAACGATAGGATTGCCAAGACTCGGCAGGTCCCGCACGTGAAAATCTCTCAGGTCAGCGGTTAGATAATCCACAATTTCAGCCACTCGAAGGCGGGCAAAGTGCGGGAAAGTCCCGGGTTCTAGTGCTTCTCAAGTTGTGGCTTGACCTACGTACTGGCCCAAGAGGGTAAAGAGCGGGTCGATTGACTTTTTCCTTGTTCCACATTTGACCGCCAAATATATCCAAACACACATTCCTGATTTCGACTTTATATATATCTTCTGCAAAAATCACCATGGCGACATTCCTCCAGTTAAATGCCCAATCTCCACCACACGCTCTTGTTGAGCTCTAACACCGGCCGGCCGTGCGTGTACGTGCTACTGCGTGTTGCCGTTTGCTGCAAGTCCAAGCTCTTTTCAACTCTCCCTATTCGCCTACCACCCACCATCCTCTTTTCCCGTTATCAAAAAACAAAGCTGTTCCTTTGGCGGTTCAAAGCTGCAAGCTTATCACAACCCCTTTTTCCCGAGTTAAAACACGCCAACCCCCTGCTCACCGCATCGATAACGAAAACACCCTGCTGTCTGGCCAGTGCTGTTTGAATTGGACATTCTCAACCAGTCCTTGCCTCAGATTACAACCCCGTGCCAAGTGTGGTTGCCGTTCCACATTCTTTGTCTCCGGAAAGGTTCTTAGGGGTCCTTCACCGAGCTTTGGTGAACGCCGGAGACCTGTCAAATTCCCATCTCAACTTGGATTTTGACTGATATTTTATTATTTCCCACCATGGCTGTCGACTTATAGCCCGCTCTAGCCCTTGAGATTCTTTGTACTTGAGTGCTGTTTCTATATCAACCTGGACTTCCCCCCCCCCCCCCCCATTTTCGTGGACAAGTCATCCTTGCACATACCCTTTTTGATCTTGATACCATCCTCCATCATGGCCCCCAACCTCTTCCTCTGTGCGCGAGCCATCTTCTGCCCTACCTACTGGTTCCAGAAGGGTGACCGCGATAGCGATCTCAAGGAACAACACTGGCAATCCCCCGTCCCGGGAACATACAAGTTCCTCCCGGGTCGCGGATGGCACCTTATCCATCGGGATGGCTGCGAAAATGACGAAAAAGTCCCTGCTGCGCTAGTATACTGTCGCATCCTCCACCGTTACATGTTCGAATCCGAACTGGAGGAACGCTGCCGCTGGTTCGAAGCCCCGCTGCACAAGGGCGGCCGCCCGGAAAAGCTGCGCTTTTTCCTCCTCGACGACGGCATTCACTGGGTCGCTGGCTGGGACGCCCAGGGCAGCTTCATTCTTGGCCCTTATCCCAAATGGTGGCTCGATGAAGATGGATACACCATGCGCCGCGGTGCCTCGCCTCCTACCAGTGCCAACGTGTCCCGTTGCAGCAGTATCATTGCTGGCAAACTTGACTGAGCTTGTTTCAACCCACAACTCCTGAGATTGTCAGATGACAATTCTTCTAATGATGATCGGAAATTCCATCATACGTGTATACCCATTCTATTGGCGCTTTTTCGATATTGCGAAGCGATTTAGCGTGTCTCTTTGATTCTCATGATAACCCACAAAAGTTTCTGGTTTCGGTTTTTATTTCTTTGTCATAGCGATGGATATGTTTTCAGGCTTCTTTCTTTTTTGTCTTATAGATCTCAGGTTAGATTAGACTTTTAATGATCCAGGAGTTTCAATGATCTACTTGATCTACAGGGCGCACGTTTTTTTGTCTTTTCTTCACGTCGGCGTCTCACATTCCTCGGATGATTAATACCATACCAATTAACCTCGGGAGACGGACCGTTTGCCGAGCTATATATCATATTTCTTCTAAAAATTTTAATTCCTATAGGGATCATATGATCAATCTCCAGTCCAGAATCCCGACAATATTCCGAAAATTATACGACTACCTTAGAATGCAAGGGGCTACCTATATTCCAATAAGAAACAATGTACAGCCTTGGAAGCCTAGCCCAGCGCCCAATATCCACAGTCTATCCCTCACAATTTCGCCTCGGCTTTAACAAGCAACTTCTGCAAGCCCTGCCTCGTCCGCTCCTCCATACCCGTCTTCCCAACCCGCATAGTCTCCCTCAACACAAAAACATGCGTATAAGTCCCAACCATCTTAACATCCTCCTCACCCTTACGGAAAATACCCACTTCCCAGGTAACGCTGGACTTGCTCAGCCTATTAACGCGCAGCCCAACCTCTAACAGATCCGGGAAGCGCACCGAGGCAAAGAAATCGGCGTGTGTTGAAACAATCAGACCTATTTGGTCGGCACCGGCTGCTAGGTTCGACGGGGAGGGGAAGTTGGAGGGCTGCCCGTGAGTCGGCGCTGGGGTTGGGTTGTTCACGCTGAAGGGGTCCATACCGCAGTGTTGGATTAGGTACGTGTTCGCGATTGTGTCGAAGAGGTGCGTGTACACTGCGTTATTGAGATGCGCGTACATATCGTTGTCAAACCTGTGTGTGTAGGTATTAGTGTTGGTGTCTGGTAGGTTTGCGGGTGTCCGTTCGGAGGTCCTGGTACTGACCATCGGGTCTGGTGTACTTGGTGGAAGCCATAGTCGCTGCGCTTGCGTTGCCTCTTAGCTTTGGACTCTGGGGTGGCCATTTCCCTCTTTTTCCGATGAGATGGTCGGATTTGGTTTAAGTGTAATTCTACAATAGATTTGTTTATGCTTCCAAGTTTATAACAAGAATGTTCTCCGCGCGGACCTCGGCATATCGGTGATTAGGTAATTTTGATGGGGGCCCCTCTAGCTCTGGGGGGCTTCTTTGATCCACTTCTTTCATCTGATCCACAAAGAAGTAGATATATATCGAGGCTTTCATCGTATATATTTAGTAGTGTCTCCGTCCGTATAAAGATCAAAGCTTATGGAGTTTTATTTAGAATTGTATTCGTCATTCAATTAATTCTCTTTTCGACGGCCTTATCGTACCTGCGTCGAGAAATCGCGCTATAGTTCATCAACATGCCTAGAGCTGGAATTCAAGCTTTGATTTTATGCGGTCCTGGGACCTCATTTGGAACTATTCTTGATCAAGAGAGGACTCCGAAATGTCTTGCCCTAGTCGCTAATAGACCGATGATATATTACCCGCTAAAGTTCTGCAAAACATCACATATCAGTGGTGAGTTCAGACCATTCAAACCTCAAATCGCATTTTGGCTACTATGAAGTTTACTAATTTTTCCAGATGTCACACTAATCACACCTCCCTCTGCGCTTGCTCATATCCATTCTGCTTTACAGCAAAACCCTTGTTTGAAATCACTTCCCATGCCAAAAGTCCTCGCCCCTCAAGACCTTCAAGCGACAATGGCAACAGCACAGTTGCTTCGCCTTCCCGAGGTGCAATATTGCATCGAATCCGATTTTTTACTCCTGCCTTGCGATCTCGTCTGTGAAATCGAGGGCACATACCTGTTACAGATGTGGATGGCATCTCAAGGTCAGATCGTAATGGCCGAGGAAGAAAGAGACTGTCGAGGCGGTCTTTGTGTGTATTATCATGCGAAAGATACCATAAAGGATGAGGGGTTGGATCTGATAGCCGTTGAACCGCTTCAACAAACCAAGATATCTACAAGATCAAGTCACAGGCCATCGAAGCTGCTCATGTCTATCGGGATGGATACTGTGAAAAGAAACCTGGAACGTGATAAGGGATTCCTTCTTCGTCATTCATTCGCGAAACGACAAGCCACACAAGCCAAGATGTTGACTGGCTACCGCGATGCACACCTCTACATTTTCCCCTACTGGGTCAAGGATCTCGCACGGCGTCAAGAAAGGCTAGTGTCCATTAGCGAAGACCTCATTGGGCTCTGGGCCAAGTCTGCATGGCAGCGGGGACTATATAAAAAGCTAGGAATGGATACTTGTTTGAGCCAGAAGAAAGAAAAGCATGGAGAGCACGACTACCGGGAATTGAGCACTATCACCCACCAACCACCACGAAACGATATCTCGGAAGTACCACCCCTTCAAGCATATCTGCATACAGGATCTACACCACTTGTCAGTCGTGTTGACAATCCCGCTCTTCTCTTATCTACCTCCCTTCGTTTAGCCAAACTAGAATCCATTGAAGAGATCGACCATGCAGTTACTCAACCCCCATTCGCCCACGACCGAAAGATCGCTTCTCCTGAATATGTGTCTTCGGACTGTTTTATTTCGAAGACCGACTGTCTTCTTGGATCTAATGTGATTGTTGAGAGACGTTCTGTTATAAAGGAATCTTGTATTGGCCCAAACTCCAAGATCTGCAGTGGTGCTCGAATCACGAGATGCGTCATTCTTGATAACGTTGTTATTGGAGAACGCTGTGTATTAACTGGATGTGTAGTTGGAAGTGGTAGTTATGTTGGTAATGACTCAGTGCTTAGGGATTGTGAAGTTCAGGAGGGTAATGTTGTCACTGAACAAACTGAGGCTAAGAACGAGAAGTTTATGCCACTTTTTGAAGATCTCGAGGAGGATACAGATAACTCTGACAGGTTTGCGAATAGTTACTAGAATGTCTATTTTTATTTTGGTTATCCTAGTCGTCATACCAACCAAGTATAATACATATAATACACAGTTAGGACATAGACCAGGAGCCGCGAACAGGAAAAGTCCATGGGAGACGAAGGGAGAAAGATGACGAGGATAGACTATCTGTGAAAATAGAGAACCACCTAGTATCCAGTGAAACATAATAAGCCTCACACTTTCCCCGTGACTTCATCTGTGAAGTGACATGCTGAAATTCAGGATGTCCGACACAACAATCCGCTTTTCAGGTCATATTTCCACATGTCACTACCAAGACCGCTCCAGATAAACAAACTTTCACTGGGGTCGTACTTGTGTTTGATCTCAAGAAGCTTTTCGTAGTTCTCACCATAGAAATCCTGCTTCCATGTAGTGCTAAAAGGGTTTCCCTCATTCATGTAGGCACCGGTATTTGGAGCCCATTTCCTCCATACAGGCTCTTTGACTTTTTCGTAGTATTCAGCTCCCGATTTCAAAGACTCGCTTGGATCACTAGTGGCATTCATCAATGCCCCATAAGTCATAACATGTGCATAGGCTTGACGCCAGGCTGGAAGGACACTTCCACGCATTTCTTCCGGAACGTTAGCGGGTCCAAGCCCGCCCTGTAAACCGAAGAGTAGCATTGATCCAGTGGAGCTTTGAGAAACGAGGATTTGCTGAAGGTATTGAATCAGGTCCACTTTGGCGATGTCGGAGAGTTCCTGTCGGCCCAAGAGGCGACTGGTGAGCAAGCTGACAGCCCCAGCAGCGGTGCTAGAGCCAGTCTTAGTGTAGAAACTCTTAGTGGTTGGTGCTATCAACGAGAAGTCCAAATAGCTCCCTTGCGTGGTGTTGGCGATCCGGGTTACTAGATTGTTGATCGTAGCGTTTATTTCACGCGTAGTCATGTTAAACCCGGTCAAACTCACAGAAGCAGCGACACCCGGAGGGGATTGATCTAGCCCCATCAGCGCCACAGCCTGTTCACCCGTAAGTGCGGACACGCTGCCTGTGAGACCAGTATCCATGATATCCGGAATGAGTGAAGCAAGCTCGGCCATAGCATTCCAAGACGCACTTTCGCTGGAGTTGGAGTGGGAAGTTGCATGGAAAGAAAACCCTCCGGTGACCATGTTGTTGGGTACGGGGTAAGTTTTCAGAACGAACTCGGTCACCACGCCAAACTGTCCTCCGCCGCCGCCGCGAACGGCCCAGAACAGGTCTTGGTTCTGCACAGAGTTGGCAACAAGGCGCTTACCGTCAGTGGTGATGACAGTGACTTGGTACACTTGGTCCGATGCAAGACCGTAATGACTTGACAGCCACCCGTGGCCACCGTTCTGGATCAAACCACCCAGTCCAACTGTGGAGTCTTCGCCACCCACGATAGCTCTGTGCACGTTGTGTGCAGCGAGGTTGGCAGAGCCCCAGTTATTTCCACTGCCACAGACCAGCACATCTGCGGTGTCATTCTTGCCAGGAACACTCCAGTTTCGGTGATGCGCAGTGTGCTTAAAATTATGCGTCCAAATGGATAGTGCAAATGCTCCCGTTGACCTGGTATGTGATTAGTGGGGTCAGATCGTTATCAGCTTGGAGTAGGTGACATACCGGCCATTGAGATCATGTCCAGTCCCCTTAATAACCACACGAATATTCTTGCGAGAAGCCCATTTCAGCGCAGTAGCAATCTGCATCTCCGTTGTTGCATTCACGATATACTGCGGTAGGCCACCAATCTCGCACCCTCTATCCATGGTGTAACCAGTCGTCCCCTGGGGTAGACATGAGTTGTTGGCATAGATCGGGTAGTCGATACTTTCGGGCCAGGTAGAATGATACGAGGCATAGGTCCAATGGTTCTTCACATCAGTGCAATTTTTTGTGGAACCAAATGGATTCCCAGGGTAGCATGATGACGCTGCAGGGGTAGTTTTTATAAGGGTCCCCTGGATTGACTGGTTGAGTGCCCGCCATTCGTTTGCAGTAGGCCAGCTCGAATCATTGGGGGTGGATTTGCAACTGGCAGAAGCTGCAACTGCAAGGAATAGATTGGCAAGGATTGCCTGAAGAGTGAATGAGAGCATAGCCGGTGAGATTGCTCCTTGTAACTCAGTACTCGAGTTCAACACATGGTTACAGAGGCTACTTATAGGATGGTCGGGGACTTTGCCTTCCCAAAACGCACAATTCAATACGAATTCGAAGACCTCTACGGAAAGAACCGTGTCCCGTGTGGATAATCTCCAATCAAGGTGCCCGTGAAAGGGAGCACCACTTCTGCGTACGTTTTCTTTTGGACTCCTTGCTAGTTTGGGAGTAGATCTACAGTTTAGTTTGCAGTGGAGCTTGAAGATGTTGATAACTAGTACTTCGTAAAGTCTAATAATAGCGTGGATTTTTTAAATTGATGTCATATAACGAATGGAATCCGGTCCAAAGGATCTAAAACCTTCAGTGCATCACAACCAAGAATTTCAATATCAAACACAACCGGGGAAGCAGGAACTTGGAAAAGCTGGACACAGAAGGTTCCGTTGTTGATCTGCGCGTATTCGTACTTTATTTCCTGATCGGTTAACTCACTTGTTAATCATAAAACTCGGCTTCCAGGTCATCCATTATTCCATGAGGAGGAATGCAAATAATTGTGTTCAACGGGGGGCACCAATAGACCGGATCCCTAAGTGGAATGATTTGAGGAAATCTTTAGGGTCTCAATCGTATACGGCGGGTTTTAGACGCCATTGCGCTAACCGGGGGTTTGCCAATGTGAGAGCAAGACGGTAAAATAGGCGGTAAACAAATTATACGGGTTGGCGCGATGGCGTCTAAAACCTACCGTAAACCGTACTACGAAGACGAGACGTATAGGGGCCAGGGTTCAAACCCCCCTTGTAGGGGGACTTTGATGCCTGAATACCTGAATTAGTACCACTTTATACACCGCTCTAATACAATGTACTGTCAATTGTTAATACATCAATCTGCCTAGATGAAGCTTTTGGACTGCATACAAATTCGGGTATCTCCATTATTTCTGGCGGTTGCAAGCCCAAAAAAATGCTTTTGACCTTGCAAATCAGACATCTCCTTTATTTTTGGCCGGTTTGGTAACTAGTTCAAAATCTAGGGATTAAAACGCCAGCAGAATCAGGGTACTTTGATTACTAAGAAACATATAATAGTGATTCAGATATTTTAATTTTTTTGCCGTTTTAAATTAAAGCACTGAGACACAAATCCCCCTAAAGGAGGGGTTTGAACCCTGGCCCTTATACGTCTTCGTAACCGTACTGTGTTCCCACATTTCCGTTCCGCGCTATTCATTTAATTCCGAACAGATTTCTCGTATATTTGCCATCGAAACTTGATCATTGTACATATCTAATAACAATACAGAGAACAACATAAAGAATCCGTGTGATTCCATTGTTTATTCACACTTTATCTTTCTGCGCGTAGGGAACCAAATACTTAAACTTGAAGTAGTTCAAATATGCAAACCCCGTATATGTAACAGGGACATACCGGGCACCTCTCCGGATCCAGAACATTGTACATCTAGCTGCCCAGCCTGCTGAGAGTATAGCTGGCCCCATGGGTGACTGAAAAGCTGATGGGACAATATGGCGGTAAATTATATCAGCGTCGTCAAAGAAAGAACGAGCATGTGGAAGAAAGCGCCGTTTTGACTGGGAGTAACGTTGCATCTCTTTATTTCCAAAGGCTGGATGAAATTCGATTTCACTACCAACATACCATACTTCCGGGAGCGTTGGACTGGTTTCGTTGATAGGTCTGCTTTGTTTGAATAGTTGCACCAGCCGGACTGCCGAATTGCAATTCGATTCCACTGCATCTGGGCCTTTGGTACCGTGGGCTAGGATGAGGACGTCACACGCTGAAAGTGCTGCGATAGCCTTTTCGAAGTTTTGATGATCCCAATCAACGCCGAACTTCAAACTGTGAATGCTCTGTACTCCTTCTTTTTCAAGCTCTGCTACAATAGCTCGGCCAAAAGCTCCATTTCCGCCCGTCACCACGATGCGTTTCCCTCGAACGGAGTAAGCTGTACCCCATACCCAGTCGAATAGTTTGATAAAGGAACCAATATAGCGATCTGGGTAAACATGATGGAGGGCGTGGTACTCTGGGCCAGCAAATATCCAGTTGGGATCTTTCGGGGCGGTTTTGTACACCAGGTGATTCGAGTCCCGGCCACTCGAGAGAATAACAACAGTTGTTCTGATTATTTGAATGGCAATCATTGACCAGAGATGACTTTGTGTGATCCACACAAGCCCGATAGGAGTCGCCCAAGTAGCAAAAACATATCCTAGTGCGGCCCCAAAGATTTGAAGTCCTAACTCAAGCGGCAGCGCTTGAACCGAATTTTGCCATAGATACTTGTTGTCGAAGTTCATATGCCTAGTGAAGTAGAGATGGTGAAATCGGTGAATATGTGCGAGACGCCGGAGAAGAGGATGAGACGATGTATTGGTTCGATGCAGCATATAATGGACCACATCGAAGAACAAAGAGCCTGTGCAAAAGAGATAGAAGAAAGGAAATAGAGAAGGGAGAATAAGATCACGCAGGAAGGGTCGGAGGAATCCAACCACCCAGGCAGGGTTTTCATCAATGGATGGCACATCGACTGAATAGACGTCCATATTGAATTTTGGAAAAGCAAGGGAAGAAAAGATTGAGGTGCATCAAGCTATTCGAGCAGAGACCCTCTTGCGCTTTCGAAATATGCGAAGATCGGTTGGTGTTTCGAGAGCAGAAGGCCGCTCTTCAATATAAGGACTCCCATTTTCAGTAGATTCATGCTGGATCATCGGCGTAAGGCACCAATATAACAATCTTGGAAGGGTCTAAGTTGATTCGTTAGTAAGACTGTTCTCTAGTCCACCCCAGCGAGACAACGCTATCCGCACCCAACTCAAGGGTCATAGATTGACCGACATCGGCTTTATCAACCAGGCGAGCTTTTGTCGTAGTTTTTTTTTTGTTCTTCTTTTTGGGCTTTTTCTTTCTCAATATATTCTTATATCATATACCTTGATCAATCATCGCAATTAATGTGCATTTCCTACAGATGAAGGTGATGGGATAAAGGAGTGAGGTGTTGTTGCGCCTCCGCCCCACTGTAAGAGAAATGCGGAAACGAATACGCGAAACATTTCTTTTTATAACCGGGGACGCTTGTTTCAGAACTGTGGAAGGCTGCTAGATTAGAACCGAACCAATCAATGCTTAGATCCTGTACATGTACCTAGTTTGTAATTTTATTTCCTCGTCCCACAAACCCACATAAAGAGATGGCAAGCTATTCTACAAAGGAAGCAAGAAGCAATAAGGTAATTAATAGAAGTGAATGCAGACGATGATCTACCTACTACAGTGGAGCTCTCTCCGTAGTTAGCTCCATGGGGACAAATGGAGAGGTTCAGAGAGGTTTAGAGAGGTTTAGAGAGGTTTAGAGAGGCTTAACCTTAACTTGATACATTGTTGCCTGGTGCATCAGGCTACAGTGTTATAGTTACATACGACAGTTCCCAATTAGATAATTGCTTTAGTGAATTTTGGAAGATGCTACACCAGAGGCATTCCAACCTGTCATCGAAATTCAAATGTTGTTCTACTAAAGTCGATCCAAACCCCGGGCAATTATACGCGAAATTAGCTGGAATTGTCAGAATGGAATAAGGTCCCCCTAGGTCATAAACAGGAACTTTTGTGTTTGCTGTGGTCTGATAAAATAGCCTGTATTATTTCCCACAGGAGTTTTAGTGCCTTCGGTGCGTTTTTCTTCTAGATACTAAGAGCCCATCATATAAAGAGCACAACTCCGCTACATCAATGTACCCACTTCTTCCATTCACAGCACACTCTGCCTCAGCCCATCTTGCATCCATGATGCGCCTAGCAATTTCTTTCCGTGACCTAGCCCGAATGGAGCGATATATGCCTTGGTTGGGATAAGCAACGAGGCCAACAGTGGCCGCGCCCGTTTTGACCGTTAAGCTGGTCAATCCTTTCATCAACCCCTTGGCGACTCCCACAGAACCCTCCTTTTTCTTGCCGGCGTAGGTGTACACAAAGATATCCGTGAAGCCTTCGTACAGCCCGTGGCTGAAGGTTGACAAGCCCACCACTGCGCCGCTCTTCCAGCCTCGTACGGGTCCATGGACTCTGGTTTGTGCGCCGTACCATCGAGGAATGGCCAGCATTCCTTCCGTTGCTGCAAGAGGTAGGTCTACAAACATGCCACGTGAGGACCGACCTAAAAACTTTCCAAGACTGATCGCTGAAGCTAATGCCATTTGCCTGGCATAGTTGGGATTATTTGAAGCGTGATTCGACGGCACGTTAGCAACATCACGGCTCATTGATGCTTCGGTATCTGTTGTTGAAAGCGACCCGGCGGTGAGAGGTATAGAAGTAGAGACAGAAATGTCAGGGCGAGTGTTGCGGTTTGATCGAAGACGTTGACATTCCTTGTAAGGATCGATGAAGATTCCAGCTGTGGCATCGGCCATGCCGGTCAAAGTTGACAGCGACGCGGAAGAAACGGCTGTAAGAGGATCCCAGCGTTGGGGCTCTATAGTGAATGGCTTGCTTTGGTATCTGTTTGTGCGCGCGAGTAGGTTAGTCATGACCAAGAGTCCCATGGATGATTTGTCGCTAGCTCTTCAGCCTTACTCACATTTTGAGATGCTTTTCTTGGAACCGCCCTTGACGTTTCAAAACCAGTGCAGCAGTATTCGACAGCCTGAGAATCTCTTTGCCCTTCTTCAGTTTCCAAACCGCAACTTCGCCGGGGATCAGGTCACATTGCATTTGTGTTTGTGGCAGATGTGCATGGAACGAATCGACTGCGGCCCGAACACCAGATTCTTGATTTATTTTGTCCGCAATGGATTGAGCCACAGTAATAGCCTGTGGGGTAAGGGAGTAGGAAATAGCGTCTGCCAATTTCTGTGCCGTAAGGTTCTTATAAGGGATTGGTTCCAGCCCAGCCCCCGCGGTGGCGACCATGTTACCCCAAAACGGTTGGCTAAAATGCACGATTGGTCAGTATTAGATGGAATTATGAGAAATGGCTATACTTACTCTCCGAAGAATGGAATGATTGTGGTGGGTTTCCCGTTGCGTAGACCACATGCTGTGGTACCGGCACCACCGTGATGTACGACAGCAGCGACATGTTTGAACAGCCACTCGTGTGGACAATCCCGAATATAATAGACACTCGAAATATCTTGGCCATGCAGCTCACTCCAGCCGCCGGCGATGATAGCCCGAACCCCTGTTATTTGGATGGCATCTAAAAGAATTGACATGGTTTCCTCCATGTCCTCGAGAACAATACTACCAAACCCGATGTAGACAGGCGGTTGACCTGCGCGCAAAAACTCATCTAGCTCTGCTGGTGGATTATAAGCCACTGGTTCACGGAAGAAGAAGCCAGAGACATCTGCAATGTCAGTTTGGATATGTTTGCCTATTGCATGCAAAGCTAACTTACCTATATGTGGTCCCCAGTCCTCCGGTTTTGAAGTCAACGCGGGCGACCAACAGTATGTAAAAGGAATTTTTAGAGTTTCATACAGATTTGGGCCCTCTGTGATTGGGATGGGATCTAGCTCTAGGGTATCCTTCCGCCAGGTGTTTATCAAATCGCCTAAACTGGAATGTGTTAGCAAAATCCTAAGGTGATTCGCAAAAGGAGTAGGTACCCGTTCCACGTAATCCATTCGACAAAATGATAGGATATATAATTTCCCAATGAAGCGTCGTTCCCAGAATAGTCCAAGTTGGCAAGGGGATGGTGAAAAGCCCTGGTAGGGGTCCAGGGCATTGTAAACATAAGGTGGACAGGGACCCCAAGTGCTTGTCCACAGTGTATATGAGCAAAGCTTGGCGGATTTGCAATAATAGCATCTGCAACAAATGGCGTTTTATCGTGTGGGTCTGGATCTATGCAAGATCGCCAGCAACCTTCAAGAATCTCGGCAATTGAAGCTCGCTTCTGTTGAACATCGCCCGCTAGCACGCTCTTCACGCTTGGAATTAACCCCGGATTGCGCACCATGTAAGACATTAATTCAACAGGGTCTCCGCCGATGGGGTAAAACCCAAGCCCAGCTGATTTGACGAATGATTCAAATTTGGCGTGCGTTGCCAACCGCACACGATGTCCATATCTTTGCAACTCCTCGCCCAAGGCAACGAAAGGCTGTACATCACCGTGGCTGCCTACCACTTGAATGACAATGTTTAGGCGAAGGTTGAAAGGAGACACTGTTGTAGGGAAGGTTGCCTCTGCCGTTTGGGACACATCCACTAAGGTGGATTGGGTGTTCATCAGCCATTCAAGATTTCGGCTGAATCGTAATCCAACTCTCATGTCCACACGACCATCTTCAGTCAAACAAAGGTCAGGTAAGGGTGCAGTGGGGCATGGTAGTTCAGACGGAGGCGCAATGCCCTGTCGCATTGGCCTATCATCTAAACTCCAAAGAGCCTCGTATGGTGGCGGAGGATCTTCATTATGAGGGAAAGTGGAGACTTGTCTCGAATTGGTCATGTTGGCATCTGTCTCTGCGCGTCGTTTACACTTCACAAAGCAGGATCTAAAGTCAGCAAAAACAGCGGGCTTTGGGGTTGATGAGCGAGAATAGAAGTGGAAGATGTTAAAAACTGATACTGATACCGCTACCACTAACGCCGTTAAACGGCTACCTAATAATAGACAACCATGTGTTAAAGGTGTACTCCATAGGAATACCCTGATCAGCGGTCATTTTGCTGGATGGTTCGGGCGATTATCTCCACTCTATACTCCGAAAGTTTTTGATTGGTTAGCCGCTACAGGTGGATCTACCTCAAGAAGTACGTAGCTTACGGGTACGATGTAATTTCCTAAAATGGACTAGTCTTTTGCAAATTGTAACAATTAGAGTTTCAAGCTTTCCTTTTTTAGATTTGAAAATTTAACCCATGCACCTTGTACTACGTAGGGAATACATAATAACCGTAAAGTAATAAAAGACCCCTTAACACAGCTGGTTTGGATTTCCATCATATCTCGTCGGCAGTACTGTGAAACCCTGAAACCCCCTTTTCTTCTACTTATATTCATCCACCATGGTCAAATCCACACCTCGAACGATTGATCAATACTGGCACAGAAGCGGACTTTGTGGAGTTATCAGCCGTGCTACACTCCGCACCCTCCAATTTGTCTTCGCTGTCACAGTTGCTGGTCTTTATGGTGTGGATTTAGCACACTCTACGAAGAGCAACAATCACGCTCACGCAGAATGGATATACGCTGAATTTGTTGCTGCACTCTCTGCTCTGACTTGCATTGTGCATTGCTTTGTTACTGTGACCCAGGTCGGATGGTCGGCCTGGGATGGGGTTCTGTTTGTCCTTTGGCTTGCCCAGGTGGGCGTTTTCGGGACAGTCTATACTTCTCACGTCAAGACAAATTACGAAAATGCGACACTGTCAATTCCTCGTATGCGCGCTGCGGTTTGGATCGACCTCGTCAATATGCTGCTTTGGTTTGCGACAATGGTACTCGGCATTGCGTGGTGCATCCGGACTCGCAAGGTCAGACGAGGCACGGATCAATTCGGTGTTGCCACAGAAGGGCTTATCGGGCCGGATGGCGCGAAGAGAATCAGTGATGAGGAGAGTGGTCACTGGAGTGGAGAGGAGAAAGATGTGAAAGAGTTTACTGATAAAACCGACGACGGCAAGTGTCTGCAGAAGCAGGGGCAGGAGCAGGAGCAAGAGCACACCAAATCATCACCTGCGTCGGTGGACAAGAAGGAAAAGCCTAGGCAAGAGAATGAAGGCCACACCTGAAGTCAAATTTCTTTGCTCATACGTTCATACGTTCATACGTTCATATGTTCATATGTTCATACGTTCACATGTCCTCATGTCCTTATGTCCTTCTCTGTTGCTACTGTTGTCATTTACTCAATGCGATTTGGAAGATTCATGGCCCCTTCTTCTTGTCTTACTTAGGCGTTTACAATATTTATTACTGTTTCTTTTCGTTAGTCCCAACACTTTCAGTAATGAAAAATATTTAGATACATCATCAGCCGGTATTTGATCAATGTTTTAGGTTTTGACCCATCCGTGTAGTATATGTGCTACATACTAATAATCCTCAGAGGACTTGTCCGTCTGGATACATATCATTTACGACGTATTATTTCTATTGTATTGCCGAAATGTGTGAATGGAGGTATCCTACTAATAATAACATTTACTAACCACTTCGATTCTATAATTTTTCGCCAGCCGCACAGGCAATACATGACAGGATGAAGTAGAAATATATTCAATAAAATGCTATCTGTATAAAGCTCTCAGGAACGAGAGTAATCGTAGAACACAACCCATGCGCCATCATTGAGATCCCCCACAAATGCAACGTGAAGAAAAGAAACATCAATTGAAACTGTAACCGAGATAGTGACCAGCACACCTGTTTAGGCTGCCATCATTCGTGGTTCATACTGAGTCAACGGAATATCCGACGTCCTCAGAGGCTCATGAAAATCTGCAACCTTCGCCAGCCGACGAGCCTTCTTGATTAGAAGACCAGGATGGTAAACGACTAGAACAGCCATAGAAAAGAACATAAGAAATCCATCAAAAACGTAAATCCACCACTCTTGTTGATTAACGGACGAACCCCTGGGGGCCCCGAACTGAATAGTCCGAACAAGGTTTCGAACCATCAATGCAAAACAGGCAGCGTACAAAGTCCACATGTACTGCTGCCAATTAATATTGTTCATGACCAAAATATCAGTAGGATTCCTCAGAAGTCGTCGATGCAAGCTGGCAGCAATCCAAATGAAAAAGCAGAACACGACCAGAGAGAAAATCAGACCTGCTAGGACGACCTTTTTTCCAATGGCCATGATATTTGCGTCTCCGGTGACTTGGACACCAGCACCGCCTAGTTGCGTGCAAAAAGTGAGTACATCATTCAATACAAAGATGACCGTGATCTTTTTAGGAGTCATGCTGACTAGATGTTCAGCGCCGAAGCAGCGAACGATTCGACCGAGGACCATGTAGACTGTTGCAGCGATGAGAGGTGGGGCAGAAAGAATGAGCATTTCTTGGAGGGCCCATGAAGAGATTTCTCTTCTGTCTTTATGGGACCATGCTCGACCGTAGTATCCGAATGTTTCACCTAGTTAGAATCATGTTAGTCGAATTCCAATCCAGCACATGAACGAACGGGGAAATGTACAAACACCTCCTAGAAAGAGAGGAGTGAAATATCCAGCGCGATATGGAATCATCAAGACAAAATGAGAGACGGTTGCAATACCAAACATGGCCATAAATGCGTAGCCTGCTGTGGCGGAGGGTGTATATGGGTAGAAGTCGACATAAGGGCTAGACCCGTTGACACCGGGGTGGAAGTCGATATCCATTGTGAAGGAGTGGAATTGATTGTAAGGACTGATGGATCGATCCCCTTGATACAAGCGGAGGAATTTTCAAGCCTTTATGAGATGGCCCGCCTATTTTTAAATCAAGCTTAACCGCCCAGTTCCTCGACGATCTATAGTGATTACCGGATTAGGAAATCTTGGAACGAATACGCGAACCCACCCGATCCGTTTCATGCTACTTCGTACGTCCGTACTTTGCTCAGATTTACAGGTAAGAAACCCTGCGTTCTTTCATAGCCTTGGCAGAATTGTTGGTTTTTTTTTTTTTTTTTTTTGGAAGTTCCGAGTTTCTTGCTTGTGAGTAGAAATCTCTAATCGACTTGAAAACTTTTGGTTTCAAGGGAATTATGCAGGAGAAAGATCGTCATTCAAATATGTATTTTGAATTTCAATAGAATACAATGTTATTCAATCTGAGTCTGAGTTCGGTACACTTGTTTCAATGGCCACTCAATCCAATGATGGAAGTCCTCGTGCAGATACGTAGAAATCCCCGATAGCATATGTTCAGCCCAGCCGTCCATGAACCACGCTGAGTCCATGTACTTCAGAAGCACAACCCAATGCGCCAGCATTATAAGGCTATGTGGCTCCTTCTGTTCTAACAAACCAATCGTCTCTTCGGGAAGACGATAAATCCATCCCATCAGGAGATCCATCAAGTCCACACCAGGCGACCCGCCAGATCGTCTCTCGTAAACCTCGCGCATGATTTCGAAGAGATTTTCAATGGCGGTCAGGTACCTGCCACGAATTTCATCGTCGGCAATATCCCTCTCAACGATTTGTTGAACTGCTTCTGTGTGCACAGTATGTTCATGCAATTTAATGCGCATCTCAGCTGTTAGATCCCGACTCCGGTTATTGGGTCCTGGCTCGAGAATCCCACTGAAGATTTTCGCATGGTGAGGTTCAACAATTAATCGCACTCCGCGCATAAGAACTAGCCACTCAGCGGGTCCGCTGTCGCTGAAGATAAGGTATTCTCCTGGCCGTGGACCTCTGCCGAAGTAGATGAAACATATCATGACGGCTGACATGTAAACTCTCTGGCAACTATCGGCATTTAGCTCCGAGATCACGCTTGCAACTGACCGGACTCCGAAGCTGAAGTGGTTGTCGGCTTGTTGGATGTATTGATCTTGAAGGTCTGGCTTTTCGTGAGCCAGATGGACGGCAGATAGAGCGAGAACAAGATGTAGAATGTATGGAAACTCAATCCCCCATTGCACGAGGTGCTTTTGCCACACATTATGGAGATCTGGACCACCCGTCATAGTCTGGTATGTGTCGATGGTGTAATGGTGTAAGAGTTGTAGGTCGGCCAAGGAGATGTTGCCGATCAAGCCCGATGAGAGACTACATTGTGTTCCAGTCGATTTGGTAAATCGCGATGGCTGAGTTTTGGATAGTTTGAAAGTCTGTTTGAGTCCGCCTGTCGCATATTGATGAGGTCGGTATCGTCTTGGACATGGCCGCTCAGTGGAAAGTTCCGAACCTTTTGGAGATTTCGATCCGGGGAACTCCGCAGTAATGTGATATCCGCACTCAATCAAATGATTTGAACAGTTGGAGCAGGCCGGTCTTTTTTCGTCGCACTGGAACGAGTCAGTTTCCGCGATAAATCGTCGTTGACGGAAACAAAATAAATGGCGTAGTATTCCCAGCATAGTGAAAATAGGCGTAGAGAGAGAAGATGAGAATGTAGTAATTTAAAAATATGGGAGAACACAAAGTAATGCGAAATAAGGACTCAACCGGAAGAAATGTGGCAAAATATAATGGCAGGTAATAGCAACAATAATCAAACCTCTTACCTTGATGCGACGCCTTTTGCAATTGGCGCACCCTAGGCGCGACTTCTGATGCGTACGTCGTGCCCTAATGGGCTTTGCATCGGAAATATCCATCTTAGCAAGTGGAGGCGCAGTAGAGCCATGTCGTATTCGTTTCAAGCAGCAACTACGTTGGGCGAGACCTTGGATTTAGACTAAATATTCAAAATGGGAGCCTAGAACTGATACAAAGACCAAACATCTATCAGGGGTTGCCCTTGTTCTTGAAATTCTGATAGGTTGTTGGAGACCGAAAATAGATGTGAGAGGGTGCGAATACGTAGAAATTTCCTGTTTGGCTTTAGCTCCCTAGATAAGCGGAGATAAGATTGTTCCATTCCGAACGTTCTCGTCAGAACCTGTTTCCAGGACTACAACGGGACACTAACGAGAGCTTTCTGGAGAAAGGAATGGGTCTTATAACGTACATGTGTGTGTCTGTTTTCCTATACAGGTATATACAACTAGTTGTTGAGCCCCTAGCCATCTGACTGTGTTTAATTAGGTCTTTTCTCATTTAGTAAGTATCACTTCGAACTACAAGAAATATACAATTGACACTTCTGTAGGCCATCTTGATAAAGAGTAATATACAATTTTATACACGGTTTCTAATGCTAAATTCGCATGATATTCTCAAGTAAATACCCAGAAATTCACATGCTGGCAGTATCAGGTTTGATATGGCACCCAAACGGCATTTTATGGATGCACTCATCTTGGACGTATAGTTCGATATTCGATAGTCGATAGAATGTCATCCAAGCATCATCATTTAACAACCACCTTCGCTCGACCTAAATTATAGGCCACAGCATAAGGACTTTCCGCATCCCCAGATCGATGAGATGCCACTCGAATGCTTGGGAAATATACTCCTGGTTCCGTGTAGACATGGATGATATTCGTTTGGGCCACCAGACTTGGCGCACCAAAGTCCTCTAGGACAAAGGTTCCATTCCCATTGATGTCCCACTCAAGGGACACAATTTTTCCAACGCCACGAGACACTTCGAAGCCAGTTTGTAAGGTCACTGGGGATCCCACTTGAGCCTCCGCTACCGTACCATCCCGTACTTCCAAATTGGCGACAGGCTGAATACCTGCTCGTTGGGAAGCATACTGGGGGACATAGACCTGGCCATTCTGAACGGTATAGTTGGTAGCCGTTGGAGGCTCGATATCTTTCTCCACCCATGCACTGAGGTCACGTAGGTGTTGTTCGTAAAGACCAGTAAAGTCAATGAGACGATATTGTACTGCCGGCTCAACAGGCCCCATTTTCAAAAAGTGGCTGTCTGAGATACTGGCATTAGCTAGGCACTTCTTTACCAACTATATGGCACTGTATGCATGTTGAGTCCGGGTCGAAAGTCATCTAACATGTATGACCGACTAGGAATAATCTTGGAAGAGTCTGAAGAGCAAAGTGAAAAAATAGTTGAATGCTATTCAAGATTGTTGACATCGCTTTTGAGACATTAGAATACAGAGTGGTCATTCAAAAATAAATACGTGCACCAGAGCTTTGAATTCTCGGGCGCCACACCAAAGCTGTCTATGATGGTGAGATAGTGTGCAAATAGGGTATTGAAAAAGTTGCCGTAGGTTCAAAAAGAAATGCAACCCTGGACCAACACAGCAGCACCTCGCATAGCGCCTAATTGCACATGGGAGTAATAAAGGTTGCCGATGAGATTGGTCATGGTGTTCGGTAGTGGTCTAGCCGGAAGTGGACAGCTGCGCCCGTAAGAAGGCTCCACCCAATGAGTGGAAGACGAAAAGACCAAGAGCATGGTTCGTAGACCTGGGCGAGAAAACTTCTTGACTGGACAAGATTTGATGGTGCCAAGGAAATGGCAGAAGAAAAGGCCAAGAACGGCAAGACATATTACATCTTGCGGAAAGTGTTGCCAGAAGCACTGCGGCGTTCCTTGGCCCGGAACGATGTATCGGTCTTGTCGTAGCGCACTTCGGGGGCAGCGCGCTTCGGCTTCCCGGCCGGGTTGAAGCTCATCTCTTGCTCGCCGACTACACCAATCCGTCGTGCAGGCTTTTGTCTCGACTTCATATTCTGCGCACGGGAGCCGAAGGAGCGGTCCCGGGTGGAGTTGGCTTGATTCGAAGAAGATACTTGCATGCGAGGCGGAGGACGCTTCGTCCGCTTGTAGTCCGCAGAAGAGATCTTTTTGGAAGCTGCTGTCTTCGCGGGCTTTTCCGCCTCGCTGTCGGAGTCGGAGTCGGAGCTTGAGCCGGGCACGTCGTCGATGGCTTCTTGCTCGACTGCTGTCAAGCCACGCTCCTTTCTCGAAGCTGATGGGGTAGCAGCCTGAGGAACCGTACTGGGGTTCAGCAGCTGGAATTCGCGTGAAGTCTCGTCGACAGCGAAATCTTGGTCCTCGAACAGCTGAGCGAAACGGCCACCACCCAATACATTCTTGTCGCCTGCAGAAGGAGCGGCAGCAGCATCGACCATTTCCTGGTCGGCCGAGCCTTCCAATAGGCGCTTGGCATGTTTACGCTCCCTCTTCTCCTCCGCGTTCAGCATCCTCTCGGCCAGTCTCCTGTTCACCTTGACCGCAACCTTCTTCTTGCCACGGATGCGGCTCTCCCGCTCCTTGTTCATAATTTCGGCCACCTTCTTCGCTCTGGGGTTTTCTGTGTCGGGGAACAACCCGGTGATAGAGTTATAAACGAAGTTCGATACTTGGTAGCCCTTGGAGTAAGGTACCATCTTTCCGGACTGCATGTAGGAGGCCAAATCAATGGGCTCTCCGCCTGCCTTGATGAGCTTCGCGTCCCATTTGGCGACCTCCTCACTAGGCACAAGCGTGAAACCGGGCCAGACAGAGCTAGACTGAGCAGACTTGAATGCACTGGGGTCATTTGGATCTTCAGCCATCTCTTCAACCAGGTTGTCCAGGAATGAGCACCATTTCGGCGCTGGTCCAAGCTGCGGGATGAAGAATGAATGTTGCTGTCGGCCTTCATTGGCTGTGAGAAGCATGCCGCTATCTTTGCACCAAGCAACAGACTTAAGATCCACAGCCGGTTCAACAGAGGTCCAAGGTTTTTGATCTTCGATATCCCAGAGCTTGATGATGCGCTTATCGGCAGAGAGCAATTTGGGTTCAATTGTCGCAGCCTGTGTTGCAGATGACTGTTCGAGGAATTGGAGAGTGTGAATAGGGAACCCGTATCCCTGGTCCTTGACCTGGAAGGGAACGGGCGAACGCAAGTCGTAGAGGTGAATGAGACCATTGGACGAGCCAGTTCCAAGGCTCATGCCGGAGCGATTGAATTCTAGAGCCGTGATCTCTGATCGCTCATCATCGTAGGGTCCAACTTGTCTGGGGGTAGAGAGCACACCCGCGCGTCCCTTAGCCCTAGGATCCCATAGCTCAACTGTCCCCAATGAGGTTCCGAAGGCCAACAGATTGTGACTCTGCTCCGCAATAGCACCGGTGTTGACCGACCCTGTGTTAATTCCACCTTGGAGAGTTCCGCCACCTGTGGATGTAAAATCGTCACCGCCGACGTCGACCTCAAAGCTCCGCATGTATCGACCTAACTCCAAGTTCAATCGGTATACCTCTCCCATGCCATCCTGATTAACACCAACTGCAGGAACAAGCACTTCAGTCGACTGGCGGTCGTAGACAATGTCACGTCCATATCGGGGAAGTCTAGTGGTGTAGTGACAACCCGAGGGAGTGTGGAATTCAAGAGATCGATCAGACTGGAGGTGGAGGGACTTAGTGTAATCGGAAGACAGTAGGATGAAAGTGGTGTTGAGTGAACTTGTATGACGCGCCCATGAAAGGGACAATTGCGGAAGGTAGTGCGTGTGGATTTGGGGCTTGTAAGTTCCTGCAAGCAATAGTGCGTTAGGGTATGCGCTCTCAGGAAAAGATGGGGACCACTAGTACGAACCTGTGCTCATAACCCATTCTCCATCCTCACTGACTCGGACACAGTGACTTGCTTCCTCAAATTCAAAGTCTTGCAGTAACTCAACTCGATTGGCATACTCGGGGTCATTCTTCAAGCTGCGCTTTCGTCGTCTAGCAAGCCATTCGGGAAGCGGGCGAGCACTGTCTGATCCCGAGATGGTATATACCGGGACCTCGGACGGGTTGGACAGCTTCATGCTGGTAAATTCCAGTGCAGAAAATGCCGAGCCAGTTGTGTTGAGGCGATCTGCAGTTGATTTGCAACCTATCGGTGTTGGCGAAAGCAAACCTGCAAAAGATAAAAAAAAACTGCGATAAAAAGTCGCTGATAGCGATCACGTGATAACAGACCTGGTGATTGGCCCGAGTGTCCCTGGCGAACGTCCCCCGGAATTACGCATTTCAACTTTCTGTTGACTTCATGCGATAAGCCTTGGTGGTTAAAATCATTGCTATTTCATTTGGTGCGGTGATTCCATTTAAGCGAGAGTGTTGTGCCAGACCTTCTAGTCTTTGTTGATCGTTTCCGCGCAACATGGTATCAATCAGCTAATGTACTCGCTGCTTGTTGATCTCTCTGCTATGCGCTTTCACTCCTTGCTACAGACCATGCAACCTGCGATTGGAAATGACTTCCAGAGTCATCTTCAAAATTTCTTCTATCTTTAAGGCTTCCGGGGCTGTCTGCGACCGTTAAATTATGGACTTCCCTGGCGGCGCAAACACCAACATACATCTTATTGTGAGTTATCGTAATATTTACAGTACATTTCGCGTCTGTGCTGACGCGTCATATCAGGATGGATTCTCCAATATTTACTGGAGAATATACACAGAAGAAGCTGGTATCACAAATAATCCACAAGAGAGCCCCGCCAATGGCTACACTATTCTCAAGCACTTAAGTCGTCTCAAAGATTTAGAGGCTCGGTTGAGAGGATTGAATTGTCTGGCCTCGTGCCCAAGGCGCCTAGGGCTTTGGGTGTTCTCCCCCACTCCCGAGTTCGAAAGCCTGAAACCTTTGTATGTGAGGGGAGGTGACGCCGAGTCAAATAGGATCGTCGTCGGCACAACAACTTTGAAAGGTATGTCTATGGACAGCTCACTGAGGTATTTCAGACCTTTTTAATCTTATTACAATAGTATCTGCATTGGGAAGTGTCTCCTCGCTTGATCTAGTGAAAGGGCTGTCGTCCGACAACCAGAGTCAGCACGGTACCCAACCCGCTGGGCAGCCACGGCCACATCAGGGCCAGCCGTCATCTCGGCGTCATGATGGTTATAGCAGCTCAGCGGCCATTTATGCCTCTTTTATATCTGCTGTCACTGGCTCAATCGGCCTCCAGTTGATTCGACGCCATGCTGCTCTACCCCTCGGATCACGCACCCTTTTCACTGCCGCCGAAAAGTCGGGATACGAAAGTCCCCATATCAACAATGACAACATTCTCTCCACTTCTTGTTTGACTACACTCAACATTCAGTTAACTATGAGTGGAACAATAACTGTTTCCGCCCAGAGTATATCCCAAACGGGTATAACACGACTGTGCAGTCCACGCGAGGACATTTCCGGAAGAATCGATGTGCAGCCTGGAATTGATCTTTGGCTATGCCCGAACGGGACTATCGCTAAGCTTGTCACGGCTAATATTGACTCGTCAAACGCTCCGTCTCTAGGCTACCCTCCCCCTGGGAATCTGTCTGCAAAAAGATCACAGTGGAAATTGGATGTTGTGCAGTGGCTGCGGAATTTTGGGTTGCATGTTGGCTCAATTGATGAAGAACCTTGGGTTGAAGTGGAAGTTTGGGAACCATTTTTCGCGAGGCTTGCTGGAGAGGCATGGCGACAGAGTGATGATAGTCAATCTGCACTGCCGCTGAAACGCATGCTATGGCCAGCGAGATTTTGCTTCAGAAGGGCTAGCTCATCGAATTTCTCTTCTGGGGCTCAAACTTCACTTCTTGATGAACCCCTAGATTTTGCAGAACGATGGTCCACAACGGCGAGCTCTCTCAAGCTAGATCACATTTCCCATACTGCTCAAAACACTCCAATCACCCAAGACTCACAACCAAAAGACCAAGAAATGCCGTCGCCACCCAAGGCTGAACCTCTGGAAAGCATAGAGAGTTTATCCCGAATTTCGCAATATCCCGATTTGCAAAGCGCGAATCTTGTTTATCCAACTCCCCCAGATGGAGCTGCAGCAGTCGGATTGAACAATCCGAACCCTTCCGAGGCTTTTGCCGATGATACTGACTTCGGACTACCCCATGCAACCCAACGAAGTTCAAAAAGGAACGCACCAAGAGCTGAAATATCGC